TGTTAAGATTTCAGGTCAGCTGAGCTTTCAGAGACTCGCCCACCCAAATTAGAGGCCCAGGGAGGCTGGGCAAGCAGGAATCCAGTGTATGGGGAGGTCCTCCGCCAGCTTGGGCCAGATGAGAGCCAGTGGAAGCTGGAGAGCCCAGATGTATGTCCCTGCTCTGACACTGCCAACTGTGTTTTTTTTTTTTTTTTTTTTCCGGTACTGGGGCTTGAACTCAAGGCCTACACTTTGAGCCCTTTTTTGTGTGATGGGTGTTTTCTAGATAGGGTCTCACGAACTATTTGCCTGGGCTGGCTTTGAACTCTGATCTCTGCCTCCTGAGTTGCTAGGTTTATAGGTATGAGCTACCGGTGCCTGGCCTCCAACCGTGTGACCTTTGGAAAGACACTTTGCCTTTCTGAGCTGCAGTTTCCATCTGGAAAATAGGGATAGTCAAGCCTGTTTTGTCTCCTTCCCACTTGGGACTGGGCAGAGATCCAGCAAGAGACTACAAAGCCAGGGGCCTGTGAGAGGGGCCACGGACATGGGCAGGCTTTATAGGGTTGGCTCTAAAACCCAATTCTAGCTGGGCTGAGGATGTAACTTGGGTAGAGCACTTGCTTAACATGCATGAGGCTCTGGGTTTCATCCCCAACACTAAAAGCAAATGAACAAAAAGCAACAAAACCCCCACTTCTTTTTATTTATTTATTTATTTATTTATTTTTTGTTTTGTTTTTTCATTTTTCTTTTATTATTCATATGTGCATACAAGGCTTGGTTCATTTCTCCCCCTTGCCCCAACCCCCTCCCTTACCACCCACTCCACCCCCTCCCGCTCCCCCCCTCAATACCCCGCAGAAACTATTTTGCCCTTATCTCTAATTTTGTTGTAGAGAGAGTATAAGCAATAATAGGAAGGAACAAGGGGCAAAACCCCCACTTCTGTCCCCTTCTAAGCTGTGTGCCTTTGAGTAAGTCACTGAGTCTCCCTGAGCCTCAGTTTTCTTACCTGAAAGGTGGGATTAACATACCTGTTGGGATTAAGCAGGCCACAGAGCACACTTGAAGTTCTCAGAGGGTAAGCAATAACCTGGTGAGCTCCAGGAATTCTGGGGCCAGAGTAAGGACTGACTGGTGAGGGGATCCTTCTGTGTCACCCCTCGACAGCACCAAAGGGTTCAGTCCTTGGAGATGGGTCCAGCGGTGTCAAGATCCACAGAGCACCCCTTACTCAGCTGGCTTGCAGTCAGGCTTGACTCCAAAACAAACCCCATGAGAGAGTGTGTGTGTTTCATCCTGGCCACCTGTCCTGGGAAGTGACTTCTTCAGGGCTTCTCATGCAGACATGACATGGAGACAGAGGCCCGGATGGGCGGTGGCACCCTGAGGTCTCTGGACACTGACTAGGAATCAGTTCCCAGAATTTCTAGGCTGCCCTCAGGCTAACACAGGATCCAGGACCTGCATAGGCAGCCCCTCCTGGGACAGGCCACTTAGGACTCAGGACATTTTTGTTGAGTGACAGTGAAATGACCTTCTGTAGCCTTGTAGTCTGTGGTTTATAGACCTGGAAGGCGGGACTTTTTATTTATCTATGCTCCCTTCTGGGACCAGTTGAAGAATTGGGGTGTGTGGTGAGGCAGAATCGGGGTGGTAGCCCAGTGTCTGAGTGGATGAGCTCCCCTCCTAATTCTGAGGGATGATGCTAGTACAGGGGCATAGACAGAGGAAGCCCAGACCAGGTTAGGTGGAAGCCTGGGTTCCGGGGTGTTCTGTTTGACCTTTGTTGAACCTTTGTTGAAGACATACCCATCACAGTCATCATCTTTTTGTGATTTTTGTCCTGGCTCTTTAGGAACAAAACAAAACAAAAACTTTTATTGGATTTTTTTAGCTATAAAAGTTCTACCTGCTAATAAAAGTTTCAGACAGCGACTCAGTGCTGTTATAAACTGAGGACTGTTATAATTAAGAATAACGTTTCTGGAGCCCTGCGCTGAGCAGCATGCATTGTGAGCAGGTTCTAGGGTGCCCATTTCTCTCTTTGCTGTGGCAGATCTGGTTCTCAGCCACCACACACACCCTCATCAGGAGGCTGGCCTTGGGTACTGTCAGTCCCCAGAGCTTCTCACCCAGCAGCACCTGGGGCTGAGTCAGTGCAGGAGGGAGGATGAGAGCATGTAGCAGGCTGTGGGGGAGGCGAGGTGGCACACACCCACAGGCTGCACTGCCCCAGCATCTCTAGTGCACAGATGCCATTGTATGGGGGACCCAGGACCCCCTAAGCCAGCCATGCCTCGGGTGTGGTTACAGCCTGCTTACTTGCTGCCCTGGATGGGGAGGGATGTTCTGTGAGGTCCTGTGGACTGTGGTCAAAGCCAGGAGGGGGTTCAACTGGCTGTGGCTTGAACCCCAGTTGCCTTAGTTTGACCTCAGATGAGCCCCTCACCCTCTCTGTTTGAATCCCCTCAAGGTGATGAGTCTTGTTTTCCAAAGCCCTATCTGATGTCCACCCAATTCCATGTTTCAAAAAGTTTCCTGGTGGTGTAGGCTGGTGTAGAGGAGAAGGGGGTGCCCCAGACTTCAGGGACCATCTATAGACACCCAGGCAGGGACACAGTTGTGAAATTCTGCTGGCAGCTCTCAGGAGATAGCAGCTACAGGGTGGCAAAAAGGAAAAAAGAGGGGCACTGAGCAGCACTTATAGGCAGGGCTGTGGAGGGTTGCCTGGGCCATGAGCTCAGCAGGCAGGGATGGGGGGAGGCCCAGCCTTCCAATAAGAAATGCCTTAGGGCCTCCATGTCTGCCTGAGTCCTCTCCTATATGATTCTGTTCCTTTCTCCCTTGACAACCCTTTGCCCAGGCTGGACTTTGTGTGAGTGCTACTGACGTTTTGGGTCCTTCTGGCCCCTCAGCGCCCTGAGTCATCTCTTGTGTTTTGGGTACTTCCTTTGTACTAAGCACATAGCAGTTCCTACCCAGCTGGCTTAGGGTATCTTGCAAGAATGTGCTCGCTATCCCATGGCTCTGTCCCCACTGTCTTTCCCTTCTAACATGCCCCGTTCCCTGGCACTGCCTGTGTGCTGTCTGCTCCATCTTTAACCCCTTGTGGAATGCGCCATCCTCACCCCTCCTGACGCTGCTCCTGTGTCCTATTGCTATTTCTTTGGCCATCCCCTGTCCTTGCTTAGTAACTATTTGGCCATTGGGCCACCCCCAGCTCTCCTCCCTTTGCTGGGCCCAGTTGTGGTTGCATCAGTGAGCAAAGGGGAGCTAGGCCCACCCTGTAGGTTTTTTAAGCCTTAGACAAACACTAGTGCTCTCCCATTCCAACCCATTCAGCTCCTGAGCTTAGAGCGCAAGGCTGGTTTGTGAAAGATCCCACACTCTCAACTGTTCTGGAATTTCAGGTCATAGAGGGTTTATCCAAATATGGATCCAAGCTGGGTGTGGTAGAAATCCCAGCACTTGGGATGCGGAGACAGGAGGATCTTGCCAGGAGTTCAAGGCAAGCCTGGGCTATATAGAGAGACCCTGTCTCAAAAAAAAAAAAAAAACAAACAAAACAAATAAACAAACAAAACTACATATGGATCTAGACCTTTATAGCTCAGATAGCAAGGCATGCCTGTAATTGCAGTTGGGTGAAATTAGGGTCATGGCTGCTGTGGTTTTCTTTGGAGAGGGGTGTGGAGCTGTATTCTCTTTTTCTATTCTACTTAATGGAGTAGAAGTTTCTGCCCTTCCCTTCTCCCCTGAGTCCTATGCCTCTTCTGAACTCTGGCCCACTGATAACTTGTCTGCACCCCCACGGGGCATCCCTAGAATGAATTTCATTCTGGGTCCTCCTGTCCGCCCTGGCCCCTGTCTACCCAGTGCTTTTGGGCCCATCAGCTGCCATAGCTGCAACCTGGCCCAGAGACTGAGCCTCCTGCTGGCCTCTGGTTCCTGCTCTGAGGGGCACTGGGCACAGGACTTTCTGATGCTTACTCCCTCAAGGCTCCCTGAGACCCTCAGCCTCCTCAGTGGGACAGTTGGATGAGGCCTTCTCCTGCCTCAGTCTTGCCCTGTCTGCATCCAGTACAGGGTCTTTTTGAATACAGTTTTGGGCTGCACCAACTGGGCAACCAAAAACTTCTGTGGGTCAGAGATCCACAGGCTCAAGCCCACCCATCCTGCCGCCATGTTGGGAGGATGCCCATTGGCCACAGAGGATCAAGGTAGAACCTAGGCTGAGGATGCTGGGTCCACTAGCCTCATCCCTAACAGAAGATGACACACACCACCTCCCCTGGGCTCTCATGAAGATCCTTTGGGATTGTGTTGTCAATCTTGACCGACCCTGGGTTAGCGCTCAGTCAGGCATAGCTGTCAAGATGACAGTCAGATGGTCATCTATGTTACTGTCTACTGTGAAGCCTCCTTTCTCTATGGCCCCAACTCATTTCCCGCCTCTTCTGGCCCTGCCCTGTTTAGCCTCATCTTGAGAACGATTCCCATGGTCTCTGAGAGTTCTGTTCAGGTTTTTAAGAAATAGGCATTTAGAGAACATTCCTCATTTGTTCTCCCCTTCCTTCCCCCAAATTGGAATCTGTACAGACATGACCTCATTCCATGAAAGGGTGCACAGTAGGCTAGGCCTGTGAGGGGGGCTGGGTTGAGCTGTCTCTAAAGACCATGCCCCCCACATTGTCACTGGGGCAGGATTAGGGGTGCAGGCACACATGAGAAGGCCTGAGTCTGGCATTCTATTGGTCACTGCTGAGTGAGCATCTCTCGTGGGCTTGTTGGGTTTTGGTTTTCACTGTGTGTGGCCACTGCCCATCTTCTTGTCTGGAGGGTCACCCTTTCCCAGGGTGGCCAACTTGTACAGGTGATGCAGCCCTGGCCAGAAATGCCTTCAGTGAAGTGCTTATACAAACAGTTCTACATGTATGAATCTGGGGCTTCCCGGGCACTCTGCTCTAGATATCCACGATGACCTCAGGCTTCCATTTGTCCTTTCCTTTCAGAGAAGACAGAGAAGATCCTGAGGGAATTTCTCCATTTCTATGAGGACCAGTATGGCGTCGCACTCTTCAACAGCATGCGCCACGAGATTGAGGGCACTGGACTGCCACAGGCGCAGCTGCTCTGGCGCAAGGTGAGAGGTGCTGAGGGTTCAGCTCGGGCTCTGCCACCCCTCCCATATAGCCTTGGATGTGACGTCTCTGGGCCTTAGTCTCTTTCTGTTGCCCTGATTGTCTGTAAGGGTCCACTCGTTCACTGAGGGTGACACTGTCACATCCCTCATCTGTCAAATGAGACAAGGACACTGCCTTCGCAGAGCGATTGTGCCTGGAACAGGGAAGGTGTTTGGCCAGAGTTGGCTGAAACTGTCATCATCACTGGCCTTGTTATTATCCCATAATTAGTACCAGGATCATATATGCCCAGGAAATACTTGTCCAGGGAAGAATTGGAAGCTGCCTGGCTCCACCCTGGAGGGTCAGTGTGGGCTAGAGGAAGCAAGTGGAAGGGAATCCTGTGGTTGGCCTATGGAGGGAGAGGATGTCACAGGTACAGGTGGAGCTCTGAGTTCTGGGCTGGATGCTGCTGTTTTTGGTTCCCTGCACTCAAGGGACTGCCAGTCCTTGTTCCCTGGGGATAGTGCAGGGGTCCTGTGTCAGTCCAGGAAAGTCCTGTTTGGGGGCCTCACTTGTACCAGGGCTGAGATCAGTGCCTTTCAGTGACCTCCACCCTCTGCCCCTGGATTGACAGGAAGGTAGCAAAGGAAAAGGAAAGGGTGGTGAGGAGGATGGTCTGGCCCTACAGTGACTCAGTGACAGCCCTGTAGTTACTTCTGGCTGGCTTCCCTCTGGGGAATCTGATTAACTGAGGCCATTCCCCCAGAAATGTGTGCTGGCCAGGTCAGCCAGGTGACCCAAGGGCCTGTGGCACTCAGGGTCATTAGTGGCTGAATTTCTGCGATTGGTGGGCTGCTGATGTGCCACATTTCCCCACCCTGTCCTGTTGGCTTCTGTGGGGCTGCCCAGGGCATCCTGTGCTCAGGCTGCAGGATGCTGAGGCCTTGCCACAGGGAAGGGATAGAGACCCTCTCTTAGCCAGACACAGGACTTTGTCTCCACTTCTGTAGTCTGATGGGAAAGGACTTGGGGACCTGTGTCCAAATGCTCTTAGTAGCTGGTAGCCTGGGCAGTTGGTTTGATCTCCAATCCTCTGACATTGGTTACCTCCTCTAAGGGCCAAGGTGAGGACTCAGTGAGAGGGCAAAAGTCCTGTGGTCAGGAAAGCAATTTGGGTTACTCAGGTTTGAATCCTGACCTGCTGGGTAATTAGGCAAGTGGTATCACCCTGCTGTGAGGCTGATTTCAGAGAATATTGTCCTTACGGGCCAGATAAATCAGAGCAGCCTTGTGGGAGGGGAGGAGGACTTGGGGAGGGGGGGTCCAGCCAGGCAGTATTGGGATTTGGGGAAGGCCTTGGGAGACAACAGGGTGGAAAGAAAAGCTTGGGAAGGCTCCGGCCCCAGACTGGGTGGCTTTGGTTTGTTTCTACACACAAAATGAATGACTAAAAATGGGCCTATTTACCATGAGTTGGGAGGGGCCAGAATCAAAAGAGTGTGCTAGGGAGCCCAGTTTCCCAGCCGGAGGCTGTAGCTCAAGCTGCTCACAGTCTGGAATGACACCCTGGAGTCTTTCTGGAGGGAAAGACTCAGATGACTCTGTTTTCTGTACATGTTAGGTGCTGGGGCCATATGGCCCTTGATGGCCCTGCAGATGCCTAAGGTGACAGTAAATAGCTGTTGACACAATCCAGTGGGACCTATGGAGATGACAGGGTGAACACATGCCTGGGTATCAACGGGGGCTTCCTGGAAGCAGGGCTATTTCATTGGAGGACCTGACAATGGAGGAAGAGTTTACTGGGTGAGGGGAGTATCAAACTGAGGGAACAGGATGTACAAGGGCTGAGCCCAGTTGACTGACCTAGGATGGGGAGGCAGACCCCCCAAGCCTAGCCCAGGATCTGTTCTGCCAACCCCCAGCTTGCCCAGGTATCAGGGTATCACAGGGCACCACATGGCCCTTTGCTTTTGGACCCAACAAAACCTGTCTTTTCCTTGACAATGGTAACCTCTGACCCCAAGGCATCAGGGAGCAGAGGTGCCCAGATGTGACCCAGCCTGAGTTTCTGGCAGGGGTGTACCCATCTGGGAGGAAAGGAGGCCTTGAACTCAGCCCAGGTGAGCAGGCTCAAACTGCTCTTTTATCCAGAATGAAACGTATGGGCAGCCCATGTCCAAAGAACCCAAGACAAATGGGGACCCATTGCTGTGCTAATCATTTTCTTTGTGTGAGACCTGTCTTTCACATTCACCAGGGATACATGGTTGTAGGGAAAGAGACCTATAAGCCAGAGGAGCAAAACCAATTTACTCACAATCCCTGAAAGATAGGGAGTTTTGGTCCCATTTTGCCATTCATGAAACTGACTGACACCATGTGAAGTCAAAATAACATCAGAGAAATAACTGATAACAATCATCAGAATAATAACAGTAATTGTTTTTATTAAAAACATCATAGAGATAAAATGAAAATAGTAATAATAAAAGCAGCAATAATAAGAAAGACTTAAACAGTTGCTTTGTGCTGGACACAGTCCATTCAGCCTCCACTGAGGCATGGAGAGGAGGAGACACACGAGGGCTGGCTCCTGTGATGGGTGGCAGACTGAGCGGGGAGCCCCAGTCGTCTGAAGCTTTGCAGAGTCTAAAATATTTTGTCTGGGCTGTCGGTTCTGTTTCACTTCCTGCAGACCTTCCACTTGAAACACGACTCTGCCATTTGAAAGTTTTAAAAATAAAATCCAAACCCACAGCTAGGCAGCCATTGTGAGCTGCCCCAGGATCTGGAGGTGGACATAGTGGTACAATGTGAGTCTGGCTTCCTGGGCCCAGGACAGCCTCCCTCTGGGACCATCCCTGTCCCTAAGTCTGGGAACTCACAAATCAGATGTCTAGCAGAGTGGTGAGGGGGAGGGTGGGGGGGGAGGGTTTCCCAGGATGTTAGGAGAGCCCTGGCTGCACTTTCTTTCTAGAAAAAATGGATTATAGGGCTGAGTTTTGGTGGTCTAAATATAGGCCACTGAGCAAAGCACAAGGTGTGTGGGGGTAGGGGAGCCATTTTTTCCTGTAAATATTTTCATCCTGGAGGAAGTGTGGTCTAGGGTCTTATTGTTTGAGCACAATGGGCTCTCCTTTCTGAGAGTGTTTCTTTCCCCTTAGGAGCCCAGGAGGGACTAGGGAGAGGGGAGCCGGTGAAGGGCCCCCGAGGAGTGACAGACTCAGGAGAGAGCAAGGAAGCTAGGAAGATCTGAGCACAGTCAAAATAATTTTTCCAGTTATTACACACATAAGCATTTCTTTGCAAGCAGCACCATATTTATTATACAACAAACAGAACCTGCTGAGACAGATCACTAGTCTCCCCTGGGTTCTCTATGTTGCATTATGGCTTTCATATCTCCCTTCCAGAAGCTTCCTGATGCTTGCCAGCTCAGGAAACATGTACCTGGATGGCCATAGCTTCAGCTTAAGATCCCACCCTTGGTATAAGGACCCCCCCTCTCCCCCCCAACCTCCAAGACAGTCCTGGAGCTGGGAGACTGTGGTGTGCACTCTGACTCTTCCTGCCTGCCTAGTGCCAGCTGCTGCTGCCTCCATTTCACAGATGAGGAAAACAGGGCTCAAAGAAATGCTGTGTGAGTCAGGCAGAACTAGGGCTAGTAAAAGTCTGGGCGTATCTGCAGTTCACACAGGTCATCTTCCTGCCAGGAAATACCCCCAGAGGAGGCCCCTTTTACCCCTGCCCAGGTCTGGTGAGGCCCGTAGTGAGCTTTCAGAGCTGGGGGGAATCTCTGGAGACACCTTGTTTAAGTTTTTGTTACCTTGAGGGAAAACTGAGATGCAGAGCTGGGCAGAGGCTTCCCAGATGCTGGGCCCTTGGAAGGCCTTGCCTGTGGGGTGTCACCCCTAGCTGGAGTGACTGCCGGGCACTGATGTGGCAGCGGTGGGTGGATGGAGGAAGCACTGTGCTCCCCAGACCTATTGCAAGGTGGCTGGGCCTGGCCTAAGTTAGGACAGAGTGGGAGCCCGTCAGCCTGGCCGGGCCCTGAATTTGGAACCGGCCTGGGTCTGAGTTGGACCCAGGGTGAGCCCCTCCATCACCCTGAGCTGCCTCTTCATCTACCAAGGGGGCAAGGTGCAGCTCTGCATCTACCAAGTGGGCAAGGTGCAGCTCTGCATCTACCAAGTGGGCAAGGTGCAGCTCTGCACCAAGGGTTGGGGGAAGTGCCCGCCAGAGAGTGAGTGAGAGCATGATCACTGCCTGTTGGCTGCTACCTCCTAGGGGACCCCACCCCTTCCCAGGCAGGGACCTCACACCCCACCCCTTCCATCCACAGGTACCCCTGGATGAGCGCATCATTTTCTCGGGGAACCTGTTCCAGTATCAGGAGGACAACAAGAAGTGGAGGAACCGCTTCAGCCTTGTGCCACACAACTACGGGCTGGTGCTATACGACAACAAAGTGGTAAGCGAGGCCCCAGCCGCAACCCGCTCTGGGCCCCAGTCTTCCTGGTCCATTTTCCCTGTTCCCCGAGTGCTCCTCCAGTCATCTGTCCCCTTGCCCCAGGTAATTCTCACTACATGAACCCCACTTCAAAGCTTCAGGCTCCAGACCTGCACCTCACACCTGCTGCCCTCATACCTGTTACCCTGTATCTCCCCACACTATTGCCAGGGCCAAAGCAAAATCTCCCTGCCTTCCCCATCTCCCTGACCCCTTGCTCTCAGTGGCTCCTTGTCTGAAAAACATTTCATTCTGGGTCCAGGTGCTCAACTCACAAAACCTCATAAAGCCATCCTCCGATCACTCTCAAGTCCTCCCAATTGCTCCATCATCAAGGCCCTGAGCCTGGCCCTCCCTCAGCAGCCCTCCTGCTTCTCCTTTGACCCCTCCCATCTTTGCTCTTCAGCAGTCTCCCGGAGCTGTCTGCTGGCCGGTCTCTGCCTCCTCTACTCTCTGGGCAGTGTCACACATCCTCCCGCCTCATTCTTTCCCACCTCTGTGAGTAGGAAAGGCTTGAGAACGGATGGGAACTAGTTATATCTTATCTTTGCTTTGGGCCCTTGGAGAAGCTGCATCTGGTTGAGCCACAACCTCGCTTTCATCTCCCAAACATTTCTCCAGAGTTGGCTAAAGGACAGGCCTGTTTCACAGCAGATCAGTTTTTAGAGTAATAGAAATAGTCAGGTACAACCTTGTACCCTAGGGTAGAGGTTTTCTAATGGTAGCATGCATCAGAATCACCTGGAGACCTCAGCTCCTTATAAAAGAGGTTGCTGGACTTATTCCCCTTTCTCCTCAGGTCTAGGGCAGCAGGATCAAGGCTTTCAAGGTCAAGGAGCCCATTCATCTCTGCCCAGGTTCTGAGCTGCTCAGGCAGTGTTGGATAGTGACCCCCTAGTGGCAGACAGTAGCATGGCAGCCCTGCTGTATGAGCTGTTCCATCAGAATTGCTTCCCCCCACCCCCCCACATGCTGGTGTAGGAAAGCTGTGTCCTGACCTAATTCTCCTCCAAAGAAGACTGTGTGACACTAAAAGCTAGGAAGTTGGTGGGAGTGGGGGAGATGGGTAGTTCAAGGTGATCTGGAGACAGCCCTGGTCCACAGTCTACACCTGCTACTTCTCAGCTGTGTAAATTTGTGGCTAATCCACCACTTGAATTGTTAGCAGCCTGTGAAATGAAGCATACAGTACCCCAGAACAGTGCCTGATATATAAAAAACATTCCTTTTAGTATAGCTGCTGGTTATAGAGGCAGCTGTGGCTATAGTGATCATGTAGCAGCCCTCCTTATGTGCCAGGCACAGTGCTAAACATCTGATGTGGTTTTCTTATCCCTTCTCACCCAGCCCTGGGAGGCAGAAGCCCCGAACCAGGTTTCACTTGCTATACCACTATCACTAGTTACCCTGGTAATCAATCTTTTTTTTTTTTTTTTTTTTGGTGTGCTGGGGTTGGAACCCAAGCACCGAAAATCCTAGCAAGTGCTCTACCACTGTGCTATATCCCCAGCTCCAGTCTACCTTTTCTTTTTTTTTTTTTAACTTTTATTCATATGTGCATACAATGTTTGGGTCATTTCTCCACAGAAATGACCTTTTCTTATCCCTCTCTTTCCTTCTTTCCTGTCCTCCTCGCTACCCTGGACAGGCAGTTGAGTAGGGCCTTAGAGCTGAATTGGAGATGGGATTTGCACTTGGTCACGCCTTTAACCTTGCGGGTTCATCTCTCTTGCCCCTTCCTCAGGCCTATGAGCGGCAGGTGCCACCCCGAGCCATCATCAACAGTGCAGGCTACAAAATCCTCACCTCCGTGGACCAGTACCTAGAGCTCGTTGGCAACTCTCTACCAGGTAAAGGACAAGCCATCCCCAGCCATCCCTAGCCACGCTGCCCATGCAAGCGAGGAGTGTGATCCTGAGCCCTTTGCTCCAGGCCACATTTGCAGAGTGGCCAGCTGGATCTAGAGCTGCCCACAGGTTGTGCCAAGTACAACCTGAGCCGTCCAAGGGGAGACCTGGAAGGCCTGAGGGGTGGGGTTTGTCTGAGGCCATGCTATGGACTGGGTCTGGATCCGTGCAGGTCCTCATCCAGGTCCTGATGGTGCCTGAGTCTTAAGCTGCACAGCTGTGGAATGTGGGGGGGGTCTCGCCTCTGTCCTCCCCGCCTCCTGGGGCCCCTGCCGAGTGGATGCTACATTTGTGAGGCGTTGCTGTTTTCCATTTCTGTTCACCCTGCCAAGGCTGCAAAGAACACCTGCTGTGCAGACTATCCCTGGGAACTGAGGGACGTGGGGGGGGGGGACGACGGACGGACGGACGGACATGCCAGCCTGGGGTCAGCTTGTGTCCCTAGCTGGGACTTGGGACTGAAGCCCTGATGGTGGTGGAGACTTGGTAGGAGTCCATGTTCCTGGAGGCCAGGCCTGTGCAGGTGAACACCTCCCCCTCCAGCCCTTGGCTTCTGTAGCATCTACAAGATACAGGTGCCTAGAGGACAGAGCTCAGGGTGTGGTAAAGACCCTGAGAGGTGGTGTGTGCACCATGCCCACACCAGGCCCACCCAGAACTGGGCACAGAGAACTATTATTGTCGGATTATTGACCATAGTGGCTGGTCACAGCCCAGGACCACTTACTTTGCAGGATCTCACATATCCATGAGGAACAAATAGAAAGAGAAAAATTCCCTTCTGTTTATTTCATTTTCCCACGTGCCTCCCTCCCCACTGGACATGGAAACCACACTTTGGCTTCCACAGCTGAAATGTGTAGGGAAACCCAAGAAGGTAATGCTTAGCCTTGGAGCATCGAGAACCTTACCCAAGAGGGAGATGGGTGGATGTGACCTACTTCCGGCTCTAGGAGGGGTTCCACACGGATGCTGGATTCTGAGGTTCCCTTAGCCAGGCTGTGGAGGACAGAAGGAAGGCACCTGCCTCCCCACTGACCTGCCAGCCACTTCAGGACAGGCCAACCTTCTCTAGGCCTAAGTATGCCTGTCGGCCACAGGATCAGGTTCCTGCTGTCCTCTGACCTAGGGAAACCACAGAGGGCAGCTGCTCAGAGAAGATTTCTCCACAGGGACTACATCAAAATCAGGCACTGCCCCCATCCTCAAGTGCCCCACACAGTTCCCGCTCATCCTCTGGCACCCTTATGCACGTCACTACTACTTCTGCATGATGACAGAAGCCGAGCAGGACAAGTGGCAGGCTGTTCTACAGGACTGCGTCAGGCACTGCAACAATGGTGAGCCACTGGGCCTGGGCAAGTGGGCGCTAAGTGTGTCAGTCGCCCAGTGGCCGAGTGCTGTGTGGCAACCCTGCTCTATAAGCTGTTCTGACTTCCCTTCTAAGTTTGTAGGAAGCTGTTTTATCTCCCAGAATCTTCTTCCTTGATAAAAACATTTCCATGTTGCTCAGGAAACATTAGGAAATTGTTGAGGCGGGTGTAGTTGTTGAGCCCTTGGACTGTAGATCACAATCATAATCCTGATTTGACCACTTTCTAGCAATGTGACTTTAGAAGACTGATTTTCCGTTTGGGGCCTTTGTTAAATGGTGATAATAACCCCTCCCGTGTCTTAGGGGGTTTTTGGGAGGATTTGTGACCAGATTTGGGTCACGTAGATAAGAAAGTTCTTGCTCTTTTTTTGGTTGTTTTTCTTTCGTTGGTACTGGGGTTTGAACTCAGGGCCTCACACTTGCTAGACAGATGCTCTTACTGCTTAAGCCACCCACCAGCCCTTTTTTGTGTTGAGTATTTTTGAGATAGGGTCTCGTGGGACTGTTTGCCTGGGCTGGCTTCAAACCATGATCCTCCTGATCTCTGTCTTCTGAGTAGCTAGGATTACAGGCGTGAGCCACTGCTGCCTGGCCAAGTTCTTGGTCTTGTTAGAGAAAGAATTCAAGGACAGACACAGAGGAGATTTAAGCAGGAGCAGGTTTATTTATGCAAAGCAAAGTGAACACAAAGCAAAAGTGCACCCTCCAGACAGGAAAGTGTGCAGGCACAAAAGGGGTGCTGCATTGGAGATCCCAGGACCTCAAGTTTTTAATCAGGATTTGCATTCATGGAAAACACAATTAATGTTCCAGGGGATAGGCCTTGTGTCATCATCCCCACATGTCAGGCAGGGGAGTTCGTGACCTTGGATGGTCAGACCAGGCCTGTCATTTTTTGTGGCCTGTGGGGTCTTTCTGTCAGTGAGACCCTACTCTGTGTCACAGGTCATTCCGTTAACATCAAAAGTCCAGGATGTGATTCCATATCAACATCCAAGCCATGATTCTCAGCCATCAGGTTTCCTAACTCCAGTGTCATGCTCACAGTGAGAGTGCAGTCCATGATGTGGGAACATCCTTTCCTTCCTCCTCTGTAAACTCTGGTTCACTCAGTTATTCAATAGACATTTTTAGTATCTACTCCGAAGACACAACAGGGGAGCAGGGCATGTTCCCTACCCTCATGCAGCCAGCTGTCTGGTGGGAGAGATAGATGCTAAACAGATGACCCACCAGGGTGATGTCACAGCTGTGTTGGGTGCTGAGTGGGAGCACCCAGTGAACCTTGAACATGTGTTGGGGGAGGTGCTGCCCTGTGACTGGGGAGGGGTTGATCTGGGTGGGCTTCATGGTGGAGGTGATGGTTCGGTTGAGACCTACAGAATGGACAGTCAGTCATAGGGAAGAGTGCTGCAGAGAAGCTGGAGCCAGCATGAATGCATGAGCAGTGTAGAGGAGGGAGTGCCAGGCTCTGCATTAGGGAGGGGGTGACCTGAAATGGGGCTTGAGGGGGGCTCTGGAGTCAGGTCTGGAAGGACCTTATAGGTTCTAAGGAATTAAAAAGGTTTAGGATTGTCTTCCAAGAAGGGGTGGGGCAGTGGGGGTCTTTCCAGCCCTGCCCTGGACCCTGACTTTCTTCCAGCTGATCTGGCCTCAGGGAGGCAGAGGGGAGCCCTGTGCCAACCCTGGTCTCCAGCACAGCTCCACCCAGCTGTAAGGGAGGTTTGGACACCTGGGCGGAACCCAACTCACCCCACCTCTCCAGAACCGCCTCTGCTGTCTGGAATCTGCCAGGCAGGATGAACCAGGTCTTCAGCCAGGCCAACCCCTGCCACCTGGACTGGGCCCTGCCCTGCTGCCCACAAAGAGCCTCCTGTTCCTAGGTCCCTGGGGCTGTGGTGCTGGTGAGGGTTCTGGCTGCCTGGCCTGGGACACCCTCCTCCTTCCCCTATCTCTGGCCCAAATGCCTTTCCCCAGGCTTCCAGGGCTGCTGGCAGGGTGGTGACCCCAGGTCAAGCAGGGGAAGGAGGAGGGATAGGCCGGGTGGGGTGAGGCGAACCAGTCTTCAGGTCTCCAGCTCTGTAGCTTGTGAGAAGGATTGAGATGGTTTGAGTGGAACTCCTAGCCTCCAGCCTGGCATATACAGTGAGCGGCACACAGGGAGCCCCTTGGGTCTGGGGTGTGGGCAGGAGGGGAGGCCCGGGGAGAGCTGCTGGACCAGGTAAGGATGGGAGGTTGTGACAGAAAGGTGTCCTGCAGGGGCAGCCCTTCAGCCCAGGCAGGAGCTGACAAGGCTGGTTTCAGATGTGGGTCTTTCCTCCACCCCAGGACTGTGAGAAAATTCTTTGCTTCCTCCCTTTCTGAGGCCGGCCTGGAATTTGTAGAGCCTGGAATTGCTCACTCCTGGTGCTGCCAGGAAGTGGGGGGTGGGTGGGGAAGGAGGCCAAGCTGGGTGGCCGCCAGCCAGTCCCAGGGCCCCCCTCACATCCTGCATTCCTGAACAGTGGGGGGTGGCAAGAGGCAGCTGGGGCACTGGCCTACTGAGTCCTCTTTGCCGGCCTGGGGTACTGAGGTCAAGGCTTCTTCCTGTCTGACTGGAGTCCCCTCTCTGGCTGCTGCCCTGAACTGAGAATGAAGTTTCCTTTCTCAGAAAGTCTCCAGGTCTGGCTTGTCAGTGAGTCCTGCGTTCAAGCCCTGATTCTGCAGTTCCCTAAGCTGTGTGTCCTTGAGCCAATAACTTTGCCTCTCTGGGCCTCCGTTTCTTCATCAGGACTGAGACTAGCAGCAGTGTTCTCGCGCAGCGTTTGAGGATTAAGTGAACTCTGTGTGAAGTCCTAGCCTAGCACTGTATCTTCATTTCCCAGGGCTTCCAAAACGACTGCACAGACTGGGTGGCTTACACGACAGAAATTTAATTTTCTTCTAGTTCTGGAGGTTCCAAGTTTGGATCAAGGTATCGGCAGGGTCATCCCTCTGTGAGCTCACGATTTTTGTTTTTCATTTTTTGTTCTTTGAGTTGGGATCTTACTATGTTGCTCCAGCTGGCCCCAAACTTCCAGGCTTAAGCTATCCTCTTGCCTCAATTTCCTCAGGAGCCAGGGTTATAGGCTGGAGGCACTCTACCTGCTACCCATTTTCTTTTCCTTTTTTTTTTTTGTTTTTTGATGGTCTGCCTTACCAGCCCTTTTTTGTGATAGGGTTTTTCAAGATAGGGTCTCTTGAACTATTTGCTCGGGCTGGCTTTGAACCATGATCCTCTTGATCTCTGCCTCCTGAGTAGCTAGGATTACAGGCATGAGCCACATTTCTCTAAGAAATTTCCCCTTTTGCAGAGTGGCTCAACTGGTAGAGTGCCTGCCTAGCAAGCGTGAGGTCCTGAGCAAAAACAATAAAACAAAAAACAAATTTCTCTTTCTTATAAGGACACAGTCATGCTGGATTCAGGCTCACCCTATCCCTTCAATTGAATTTATCTCAGTCCCAGTTTGAGGTACTGAGGGCAAGGGTATCAAATGAGACACATGGGACCCTCAAACGTGTCAAACCCTGTGACTTGATGTGTGGAACAGAGAAGGTCCCCAGAGTCTGAGGCTCATGTCCTGCTTGAACTGGCGTAGAATCCCTCCCGCCTCACCTTCCTGGCAGACACCCTACCCCTCAGGCCTGACTTGCATGCAAATGTGGATTCCTGGATCTGAGAGAGCCAGCCTGTCACGCACTACTGGATTTTCCAGGCAAAACCTGGTCTCTAGAAGACGGTGTCCTCCTGAGAGCCTGGCTGGGGTTCTTCCAGGCCCAGGTGGTCAGCCCTGGCTGGGATACCCCTGCTCTCCTCCCATCACACCTGCCTGGCCCTGAGTCCCTGAAATGGAGGGTTCAGCATCCATGCTCCATGCAGGGATGGGCTCTGCTGAGCTCCCTTCTGGCCCTGACAAGCAGTGATTCCTGTTTCCTCCCTGTGGCCAGATCACTGTGGGAGGGAGGGTCCCCCCATGCTAGACGGGACTCAGCTTCCATGGGGTGACTCAGCCTGTAGTCACTGCAGTGGGTGCTGGGGTTTCTTTTGCTCAGACTGCTCTTTCCCCATCCTGGGCTCTGGGGACACTGGTCAGAGGCACATGGCCAAACTTGGTGTTAACCATGTTTTCCCCATCCCCCAACCCCAGTTAAATTTTGCAGCTTCCTGCTGCTTGCTTTGCCTCCTTAGCACTGGGTCTGGAGTCCATGCCTTGTTCACCCACCCACCCTCTAACATAAGCCACCAACACCACCAATAATAGCAACGCAGAAATAGTCTTTTTATAGTTGTTACCAATAATAAAGGCACTTCCTTTTTTTTTTTTTTTTTTTTTCCCTGCAGTGCTGGATATGAGCCCAGGGCCTTGTGCAGACTAGACAAGTGCTCTCCCACTGAGCCACACCCCATCCCCCATTTATTCAGTAAATTTCTTCTAGCATCTATACCAGGTGCTGACTTGGACCCTTAGACAAGACAGATCCAGGGCAGCAAGAGCTGGTTCTCAGTGTCTTACAGAAAGTGTCATTCAGCATCCCTGACTGTGGCCCCCTAAGACCTCACAGTCCCCATGCTGAGGGCCAGGGGGTTCCCCAGTGGGTGTGGGAGGCCAGGCCAGGGGCATTGACCCCATTGTGTAGAAACTGAGACCCTTTTTTGGGTCTAGTGGTCTAGAACAAGGCCCATCAAACTACAGCCCATGCCTGCTTTTGTCAGTGAGGTGTCACACTCGCTCACTTGGCTTGAGGATCCACTGGGGCTGATCTTATGCTGGGTTGCTGGGCTGAGTGGCTGGGACAGAGGTGCGCTGGCTTGTGCAGCTGGGTGTATTTACTACCTCATGGCAGCGTTGCCCAGATGGAACAGAAGGGGTAGCAACAAGGATTAGAAGGAGAGTCCCAGATATCCTGAAAGCCATGCTGGGTACCCTCTCAGGGAAGGAGGTGGCGCCCCCTCGTTCTTCTGTTGGCTGCTTCTTTTACTGTAAAGTAGGGTTAGTGATAGGCCAGATCTCAGGGTCTTGGAGGATATAGGTGATAAAGAGGAAGCCCGAGGGTTGCCATACTGCTGATGGTGGGGGCTCCTTGCTCTTACTGTGCTGAGACTCTGCACAGTGAGCCTCATTGACCCCTCCTGACATGCTGTTGCAGGTGGGTGCCGGGTCTGGTTAGTTGGCTGGTCTTGGCTGCCACTAGGCAGTTTGCTGAGCTCTCCTCTCCCTCTCTGGGGGCAGGGATCCCTGAGGACTCCAAGGTGGAAGGCCCCGCGTTCACGGATGCCATCCGCATGCACCGCCAGTCAAAGGAGCTGTATGGCACCTGGGAGATGCTATGCGGGAATGAGGTGCAGGTGAGACCAGAGGGCTGACTGGGAAGATCTCAGAAGTCACCCTGGGGCCCAAAGGATAGATCTGGGAGCAGTGATGGGCTCTGGTGCACTGCAGGTTTGGTTTGGAAGGAGATGACAAGCTCTTCTGGACAACGGGGTGCTGGTATGCGTGCCATTTTGTTCACTCACTCACTAGGCATCTCCGTGGACCAGGTGCCTGGGTGTAGCTACACACAGGATGGCCTCAGCCTGGGCCCTCTGTGGAGCCAGGAGCTCTGTCTTGCGGGAGAAACTGACATTCCACAGACACACATGCATGTGCAGGCAAGGCAGGAAGGAGTGTAGCATGTGCCAGGGCCCTGAGGTGGGACCCAAGCTTCTGAGAACCCTGCAGGCACCCCAGTAGATGAGTCTGACACCTGTGGGTGATGCTTGGAAGCCAGCACAGTGGAGGTGTGGAGCAAATGGCCAAGCCCAGAGGAGGGGGCTTGAGTGGCCAAAATACAGAGAGAAGCACCGGCTGGTGTCCCTGCTCAAGCCCTGCCCCTGGTTATTCCTCTTGATCCTAGATCCTGAGCAACCTGGTAATGGAGGAGCTGGGTCCTGAGCTGAAGGCGGAGCTCTGCCCTCGACTGAAGGGAAAGTCACAGGAGCGGCAGCGCCAGTGGATCCAGGTGGATGGGTCCCCTAGAGGCTGGGGGGTGAGCAGCTTGTACAGTGCCTTTGGCTGTGGCGCTGACACAGCTGCTGTGACTAGATCTCGGACGCCGTATATCGCATGGTGTATGAGCAGGCCAAGAATCAATTTGAGACTGTGCTATCCAAACTGCAGCTGGCCCGGCCAGCCATGGAGGCGGTCATCCGCACCGACATGGACCAGATTATCACCTCCAAGGAGCATCTGGCCAGCAAGATTCGAGGTAGGGTCTTTGGGCCATGCTTGTCATGCCTGGACCCAAAGGTGCTTGGACCAGGCTCTCCAGGGACCAGACGAACTTTCTTTCTATCTCATGACCCATGACTTGCTGGTTGATTGTTTAGAAAAATTAGAATGGAGTTCTGAGAGTTGTTTTACAGTAATTATTTTTATAAATCCAGATCTTGAAGGTGGCTTTTTTTTTTTTTTTTTTTGATAGTACTGGCATTTGAACCCAGGGCCTTGCAGTTGCTCAGCAGGTGGTCTACCACTTGAGCTATGCCCCCAGCCCAAAAGGGGAAAACTTTTGTTTGGGGGGGTTCAAGCATTGTGTCTATCCTTAGCCAACCCAGATCTGACCACATGTCATTTGGTAGGCTTCAGTTTAACTCAATGATGCCTAACTTCTCCCCTAAACACACACACCGGCCATGGTTTTAGCAGTTGTTAGCTTCCTATGGCTTTTTCTCAACGAGCTGTATTCATCAGGAGCCGGATGGGACACTGAGAGTTGACATTATTTTGTGGAACAAACAACATTAGCTGGGTGGGGCAGGGTGGACACCAAAACACCCCCTGGGTAAAAATGCTTGAGTCAGAATGTTTGGAGAGCTAGCAGGGAAGAACTTTTTACACGGTATAGCAGAGCCATGCTACACCATCCCAGGGCAAGGAAGGGCTCAGGTTTTGTAAAACCAAGAGGCTCCTTGGTATTCTACTAAGGTATTTTTATATTGTTTTTTTTAAACAAAGGAGCATGGTCCCTAAAGATAGGGTTTTCTCTGCCTCTATCTAAGTAGGAAACTACTAGCACCTTTGGCCCATAGTGCTCTTAGTTTCTTGCCAGTCACAGTGTCAGAAACATGTCAGGTTCAATGTCAGGATCCCCTGGGTTTTAAAAAATTTTTTAGATGTTTTTTGGCAGTACCAGGGTTTGCATTCAAGGCATTGTGCTTACTAGGCAGGTGCTGTACCCCTTGAGCCCAGCTCTTTTTTGTTTTGTGGGACTGGGATTTGAACTCAGGGCTTCACATTTGCAAAGCAGGTGCTTTACCACTTGAGTCACTCCTTCAGTCCATTTTGCTGTGGTTATTTTGGAGATGGGGTCTTGTGAAATTTTTGCCCAGGCTGGCCTCGAACCACAGTCCTCCCGATCTCCACCAATGGAGTAGTTGGAGTTACAGACATGACAACTGTGCCTGGCTTCCATCACCATTATGTTTACTTCATGGAGTTATCTTTACCAACCCTTTCTCTGGGATCAGTGAACTTGCTAGTATTGCCACCATGGGTGGTTTTCTGGAAAGATAACACAATGGTGCCTCTGGCTTCAGGGCTGGGATGGTGGGAGGCCCAGGATGGTGGGAGGAGTTCCTGGTACTGCCTGCCTGGCAGGAACCTCTACTGACCTGGCTCCCTCTGGGCACAGCCTTCATCCTCCCCAAGGCAGAGGTGTGTGTGCGGAACCATGTCCAGCCCTACATTCCGTCCATCCTGGAGGCCCTGATGGTGCCCACTAGCCAGGGCTTCACAGAGGTTCGGGACGTCTTCTTCAAGGAGGTCACAGACATGAACCTGAATGTGATCAACGAGGGTGGCATTGACAAGCTGGGCGAGGTAAGGCCTGGACTTGGGTCTGGTCCCCATCCCCTTCCACCGGGGCATTCACTGTGTGACTCAGGGCGGACCCCTCCTCAGATAGTACTTACAGAGATAGGGACAGAGGCCACCAGGACAAAGCTATCACCAGTCTTGGTGGGGGCCAGCAGTTAGAGGAAAGAGGGAAAATTCACCCTTTGCCACCAAGCCCCTATAAAGCAAGAGAGTTGGCAAAATATAAAAGAATTTAATAGAGAAGGGAGGAAGGAGAAAAGGCAAGCTTCAGGTGTGAGCAGTAAAATTAATGCCCTGATAAGTCATGTACCCTACAAACGCAGAACGTACTTCCACGGTGCCCATGTTGGGTAGCTGACTGCCTGGAGTCCACATAGATGTTAAATGCAGATATCTGTCCTGTATCTTAGCCTTCCCCTTACACTACAAATAATGGGAGTTCAGACTATAGAATTTGAGAACCAGAAAGGACCTTAGAGATCCTGAAAAGCCATCTCCTGATTTGGGGGCTGCAAACACTGAGGTTCAGAGAGGATGAGCAACTGCCCAGAGTCACCCAGCAACCCAGAAGGAATGAGAACTGTCTCCTAGCAGCCAGGCTGGCCTCTCCACAGCACTGTGCTGCTGAACCACACCTCCCTTGCCTTCAGGTCCTCCTCTGTCCTGTCTGGGCCCTCCTGTGTTTACCTTAGTGGCCACCATCCTCAGGAGTCCATCCCTCATAGCCAGTGTGGGTTTGGGGTCTGCCTAGCCACTCATGCAGCCCCCGCAGAGGTCCCACGTGCCCCTGCCTCTTGCAGTACATGGAGAAGCTGTCCCAGCTGGCCTATCACCCCCTGAAGATGCAGAGCTGCTATGAGAAGATGGAGCCACTGCGGCTCGATGGGCTGCAGCAGCGTTTCGATGTGTCCAGCACATCTGTGTTCAAGCAGCGAGTCCAGATCCACATGCGTGAGGTGAGCCCAGGCTCTACCCCCAGCTTACGCCACACCTGCTCACCACCATCCATGGGTCCTGTCATGGCGAGTGGGCAGGCCTTCTCTCCATTGCTGCACATTCTCTTCTGCCTCCTTGGCCAGGCCTGTCTGTGCAGAGCACCTGTGCCTGTGCACACCCGGGTGACTGCCTACTTTGGGAAGTTCTTCCTCGATCCCAAGCTCCTTCCTGTGTTTTCTGTTCTCTCAAGGCAGGGTGCTCAGCACCGTGCCAGGCCTGTAGTACACTTAGTGACCATGTGAGCGAGCACCCAGACTGCCTCTCACTCTCCACTGGCAGGCCTAGGGTGGGTGGGGGGCTGGCTGAGGACCCTCTTGGTGTGCTCACTCTATGGGCTTCACATGCCTGTGGTGTGCCCTCTGTAGCAAATGGACAATGCTGTGTATACCTTCGAGACCCTCCTGCACCAGGAGCTGGGGAAAGGGCCCACCAAGGAGGAGCTGTGCAAGTCCATCCAGCGGATCCTGGAGCGGGTGCTGAAGGTGAGTGCCTCACCTCACCCCACATGGACCCTGTCTAGTCACTGCCCCGCCCTGAGCCTGATTCTGAGTGCCGCTAGAATTGTGGCCTCTGCCAGGGCATATGCTGATGCTGTGATGCATTCAGAGTAGCATGCTGGGCTTGGGTCAGACTGCTGGCCTTGATGCTTCCACCAGGCTAAGGGCCCCCTTGTCCTCCCTGCAGAAGTACGACTATGACAGCAGCTCTGTGCGTAAGAGGTTCTTCCGGGAGGCGCTGCTGCAGATCACTATCCCCTTCCTGCTCAAGAAGCTGGCCCCCACCTGCAAGTCGGTGAGCCCATGCCCCTGCCCTCCCCAGTGCCTGAGTTTGCGGGGCCTCTCCCCAACCCCCTGGCTCTGACTCCCTGCCTGCCTGCCATGCCCGACAGGAGCTGCCGCGCTTCCAGGAGCTGATCTTCGAGGACTTTGCCAGGTTCATCCTGGTGGAGAACACGTATGAGGAGGTTGTGCTGCAGACCGTCATGAAGGACATCCTGCAGGGTGAGCAGGGAAAGTGCAGCCCAGAGGGTGGCGGGTGGCACAGACAAGGTACAAAGAGAAACTTGAGATTCTCGCCTAAGGCTAGTGTCAAGCCCCACTGGTGACCCCAGGAGAGCAGCTTTGCCCCCTCTGTGCCTTAAGTTTCTTTTCAGGTCCTTGGCTTTGCTGGGAGGGTCAGAGGAGGGACATGGTGGTTACCAGCATGGGCTCTGGGCTGGAGTGACAGCTCTGCCACTTCCTGCCATGAGGCCAGGAGGGAGGCAGGGTTCATGCGGGCATGAGGTCCAGCACAGCTGTGCCGGTGCTGAGCGTCCTGTCCGTCCTGTGGCCCACAGCTGTGAAGGAGGCCGCCGTCCAGCGCAAGCACAACCTGTACCGGGACAGCATGGTCATGCACAACAGTGACCCGAACCTGCATCTGCTGGCTGAGGGAGCACCCATCGACTGGGGCGAGCAGTATGGTGACAGCGGTGACGGCAGTGGGGGGGACAGTGGCAGTCCCAACCCTGAAGCAGCCACCCTCTCGGAGAAGCGCCATCGGGCCAAACAGGTGTTGTCTGTGGTCCAGGACGAGGGGGCAGGGCTGCCCTTTGAGGCTGGCTCTGAGCCTCCGTCACCTGCATCTCCGGACAGTGTCACTGAGCTCCGAAGCCTGCTGGCTCGGGATCTACGGGCTGAGAGCCCCCCGCCATCCAGCCCCCTGCTCAATGGGGCCCCTGCCCAGGAAAACCCCGAGCCCAGGGCAGTCCCCGAGGCCTCCTCATCGTCTGCATCACCCCTGCGGCATCTCCCACCTGGAAAGGCTGTGGACCTTGAGCCCCCCAAACCCAGTGACCAGGAGACCGGGGAACAGGTGTCCAGCCCTGGCAGCCGCCCCCCCATTCACACCACCACTGAAGACAGTGCGGGGGTGCAGACAGAGTTCTAGGCTGGTCGCCCCAGGCTTCTATGGACACAGTGCGGGCCATGCCTCCAGGGCACTGCAGGCTCTGCTCCAGGGAAGGGCAACCAACCTATACCTTGTGGGTGGAGCTGGGCAAGGGTGACTGGAACCCCTGGGGGAGCCAGGCCCACATGAGTCACTTTATTGGGTTTGGTCCACCCTTTATTGCTCTGTTTTCTCTTCTGTGGGCTGATCTTGGAGGCAGGGGCTGATTTTGAGGTTTTCCTTTGTGCTGTGGGCTGTACAACTTAGGGGGGCTGGGGAGTCCCTCCATTCTGCCCTCCTGCTGTCACCTCTATTTCCTTCACCGTGGGTCTTACTATCGACCAAGGGAGATGAAAAGCATCAATGCTGTGACTCAAAAGCCTGGGAAAACCCAGATTCCCTGTTATCTTCCCCTCAGGGCTCCCTGGCACCTTGATAGGGAGGAAGAAATGAAGGGAGAGGTGGCGGAAGGTGGGACGGGTGTGAAGATTGTCTCTGTCCTGCACTGTTCAGTCATCCCCTTGACCCCTGGCCTAGAGGCTGGATTCCAAGTGGACACTGGCTTCACTCCCCCCAGAGGCTGAGGGAGGCCAAGAAGGAGGGTTTCAGGCTGGAGCCAAGCTGGGGGGTGCTGGAGGAGGGGAAGGAAGGATTTTGGGGTGTCTTGACAGGGGAGTGGGCCAGGTGCCTGTGATTGAAATGAGAAAGGCCTGGAATGTGCTGGTCTGTGGAGAGGAAGTGACTGAAAGGAGGAAGGAGCTGACCTTTGGGGAGAAGCTAAGGGAGCCTGTGAGCAAGAGGGTGAGGTGGCAGTTAGTGTTGTTGCAGCTGGAGCCCAGCCTGTCTCCTTCCTGATAACCTGAGCTCCCCCATTCTCGGAGTTCCCTCTGTTCCTCTCTTGGTCCCCACATTCACACTCTGGGTTGGGCAGTCTCTCAGAAGCAGGGCTTGGTGGGCATGGGCTCTGTCTGCTCCCGATCATCTCTAAGGTACTCACTGCTTGCCAAGGAGGTAGAGGGGCTCCTGAGAGGCAGCAGGAGAACCTGTGGCTCCCCAAGACACTGAGGATTTGCGTGGCTTTGGCTGCCTCTGAGTCTTGAGTCACCTCACTGAAAATTCCAGGCCCTTCTCAGATGTCCTTGTGAGTCACTTTGAACTGATGTCCCTTCCTCGAGGGTCAAGTCAAGGCCACCCCAACTTGACAGCCCCCCCTTCCTGTGCCTCCTCAGACCTTCTCTGCTGTTGGGAGGACAGAGCAGAAACTGCCTCTTCAAGGTTCCCAGGGTGGGGTCCCCTCCCCAGCCCTGTGTCCTCCATCCCTTGAACCTGCTCCCCTGGGCTGGAGCCTTAGCCTCACAGGACAAGGCTGGTGCTCAGGGCCACCAGCCTCCTCTGACAAAGTCAGTGATCTCTTCCATGCTCTCTAGTGCCTTGGGGGTTTCGATCATCCTTCCCAGGTGTGGTATTGAGAATACTATGCAAACTGTTTAAGCTTCTGCTAATCAATAAATGCTTTATTTAAAGCCCACTCCTTGTGTTGTACTGGGGTTGTGGGAGGACTGGGCTAGGGACTGGGCAGCTAGTGCGAGTGGTTTGCCCAAACTGTGAGTAAAAATGTCCCAGCCAGTCACCTGGGGGAATGTTGGCTTCCCTGGTCAGCCTGTTCATGGGCTTAGGGCTTGGGCCTGATCCTCCCTCATTCCACAGGGCTGAGGGGCAAAAGCCAGGGTCTTCGGGCTGGAAGTCGGGAGTTTAGCTGGTGTGTTGCTGTTGTCCTTGACAGGTTTCTAACTCAATTCAAGTTCCTTGGCTAGGAAGGAAGTGGCAAAAGTCCTTCCTCCTTGGGCCCAAGTCAGGAACTAAGACCTATAAAACACTGTGCTACACAAAGTGGCATTGCTTCCTTAGGGCTCAGTTTCCCTTCCTGGCCAAGCTGAACTCAGGAGGCAGCAGGGAGGATCCATCAGGCGTCTCAGAAGTCCCCAGGGAGAAGACACTGAGACGAAGCACCAGCTCCTGCCCTGGACAGTAGGCGTACAATGTGAAGAGAGCAGGTAGTCCCAATGAGGCAGGGACAATGAGTCCCGGAGGGGCGGGGCTCTTCATGACACCAGGAGGCCTCTCCTCACCTTCCAGCTCTCTCATTGCAGTCTCACTGAACCTTGGGCGAGCACTCAGTGCCCCCTGGTGGCTGCCAGACTAAAGGCCCCATCAGGTCTGGTACCGGATGGATGGGGAAACAGGCCTGAAGGCTGGCCAGGATTACTAAATCAGAGGCGTAATTCATGCGTCCCAAGCCCAAAATAAAGGCTGCCCTTGGCTCCAAACTGCCAGAAAACATGTGCTATGTACATCCCTGCCACAGTACCCGAGAGCACTCCTGGAACTGCCGTGAATGAGTAGCACGGTGCGACAGGATGCTGCCTGGCTCCACACCCAGCACAGCCACGCGGCAGTAGCAGGGCTCCTAGCCCTAAGCCCTGAGCCTCAGCTCCCTTGCCTACCTAACAGCAATGCTGAAAGCAGCCAGGGCTACTGAGCACCGGCAGCTCCTAGATGGCGCTGGCTGCCTCCGGGCCTGGTCTTCCCACCTGTGAAGAGGGAATGGCTAACTTCCCTTTTGGGGGTACTGCTCTGTCTCCTCTGACCAAGGTGCACAGCTCCCCCTCCCAGCTCTCCAAGGACCCAGGGATGACACGGGAAGGAACAGCAGATGGATTTATTGATGTTCCTGCTTTTTGAGTTGAGCTGCCTGTGAGGGCGAGGGTGGAGATGCGGAGAGCCAGCGGGGCATGCACAGGGAGCAGCAGGGGTAGGAGTGGGGCAGGCAGAGGCCTACATGGCTCATCACCCTCCCCAGATGTCCCTCACCCCAGGCCAGGGACAGCTTGGTACGCTCCGAGAGAGGCAGATGGCAGGGAGTGCAGCCACAGCTTGGCTAGGACGCTCATTCCTGAGTCTCTGGTGGCACAGGCACCTCTCCCCACTCTGAACCCCGGCCCTATGCCTCGAGGGGCCCCACCACCCGCGACATGCCCCCTCTCCTGTTCAGTGTTGAGTCCAGTGATGCCACAGCTGAGGAGCGCCCCCACCTGGCCCAGATGTGCTTGGAGCTCAAGGCAGGGGGTCACAGGCGGTAGGGAAAGGCTGGGGTTGGCCTCCCCCTAGTCTGGGGGGGAGGGTGACTGGGAGCCCCGGGTCTGCAGTAGTGGCGGCTGCGCCGGGGTGGCATCTGGACCTGTGGATGGCTGTGCGCTCAGCTGCTGTGGTAGATCCGGAGGCGCTGGGTGATCTCCTGGCGGCACAGCGGGCAGGTGTGCAGAGGCTGGCAGCATTGCTGGCAGCAGCAGACGTGGCCGCAGGTGAGGAAGATCATCTGGGCCTGAGGACAGAGCACAGCAGTGCACTCAGTCCCAGCACCTGGGTCATGCTCTTTACCTTAAAAACTTGGTGGCATGAGGGTTGGAGGAGTGGTTCAAGCAGTAAGAGTGCCTGCTTAGTAAGCCCAAGGGCCTGAGTTCAAACCCCAGTGCTACCAAAAATACAAAACAAAACAAAAACTTGGTGGCATGGATGCCATGAGCCACTCAAACATCACAGAAATATATGTCATAGATATGAAACCCCACTCAGTCCTGTTTGATTTTTTTTGTAGGAGTAGAGCTTGAACTCTGGACTTTGTGCTTGGCAAAGCAGGCGCTCTACCACTTGAGCCACATCTCCAGTCCATTTCGCTCTGAGTATTTTGGAGTATTTTGGGTCTTGTGAACTATTTCCCCAGGCTGGCCTTGAACTGCAATTCTCCTAAGTTACAGGTGTGAACCTCTGGTGCGCGGCCCTTCTGTTCATTCTTGTTCCTATTTTGCTATGGCTTGCAAATAATATATAAATACCGATCATCCCTAATCCTCTCCTTTCCTTCTTTTTTTTATTCATTTATTCACATGTGCATACATTGTTTGGGATATTTCCCTGCCCCCCCCCCCCCGCCTGCCCCGTTCCCCGCTCCCCCCTACCCCCTACCCCCTTCTTTTTTTAAATTTTTTTATTTTTCAGTGCTGAGAATGGAACCAGGGCCTTGCCCGTGGTAGGAAGTGAGCTCCTGTTTACAAGTTTCTTCCTGTGCCCTGAACCCCTAGTTTAAAATGACTGCAACCTTATGGATCAAGAGCCCTAGAAGTGCACCTAGGCTTTGCCTTAGCATTTCCTTTTGTCAGGGCTGTAACCTGAAACGTTCAAGATGCACCCTAAACCATTCAAAGTTTTCTATAACAGCAAGGAACTGGGAGCCACCTCAGGGTCCCAGCTGCTCATGCTGCCCTGTGACATTCCCTGAGTCTATTAAGGACCAGGGAACAATGGAACTGCCATTACAGGGGCTGTTCTAAGTGGCGGCAGGGAGGTTCTGTACTTTACACACTGCTATGTTTACTTTTTGCAACAAGTAAGTGTTAATTCTGCAGCAATACTTAAAAAGCCATGTTGTTGATATTTCGTGATATGAGGAATTTTCCCTAATGTAGTTAATAAGCTGGGAAAAAATTTACTCTCATGAAAAAAGGTTCAGGAAACGATGTTAGCATTGTTCACATTTGAGTCACAGGACCACGATTCGCTTTTGTCTCCTGTACTTTTTGCTTTCCTGTATTTTCCAAACTGTCTAATGAACACGAAGTACTTATGCAACCAGAGAAAACTGGATATAATCCATGTGCCTGGAGAGGCCAAGGAGGATGGCTCAGGCATGGGGCAGGTGAGTGGAGAGGGCCGCTGGTCAGGCCCTGCACCTTGCCCTGCCCTGCCACCCCAGACTTACCTCCCGTTCCAGGCACACAACACACTCTGAGGCCTGCACCTCCAGCTCCGCAGGGGGAGCTGATGGTCTCACTGATTCGGAGGCTCTTGAGGGGTTGTGGGGGGCTCCAGGACCCCAAAGACCTCATCCTTGGGTAGTTTCAGCTCTGTGGGGCCAGAGGGACAGGCTGAATCAGGCAGTTAACACAGATGATCCCAATACTTAGGGGCTCCCAGGCCCTGCCTGTCCCCAAGAAAGTAAGCTGGGGGTGAGCATGGGGGCCACTCTGATCTGAGCACAGGGGAAGGACTCTCCCCCAAAACCACCCCATACTTCACTTCTCTGAACCCCGTTCCCCACGCTCTGCAGCTGTGAAGCAGGCGTGGAATCCCCACACTCCCATCCCTTTCTCCCCTGCCATCTCACCATGCTGGCAGGGATGGCCAAAGCGCCTATTAACAGGGACCTCTTATTCTGAACGTCCCTGGGATCCTCCACAGCCACCCTGCAGCAGGGTTGATCACTTTCAGAGATGAGGAATCTGAGGCTCGGAGAGGAGCCATCACTTGCCGAGGGCCACGTGGTGAGCCACAGAACAGGAGCCCACGGTTAGGGTCTGAGCTCCTCTGTCAGGTCGCCCAGAAGACTGGATGAGCCACTGCCCATCAGGTGACCAGCAGAACAAGAAGCCCCTCTCTCCCCTCCCTCTGCTCAGCAGCACTCCTAGCATGCCCACTGCTCTGCCCTGGAGCCAACAGCCCCTGAGTCTGCCAACCACAGCTCATGCATCTGGATGAGCCCCTGCAGGAGAAAGCCCAGTCAGTACCTGGCTGGATCCTGGCCACATCCAGCAGATCCTGGACCCTCCGGAGGATCTCATGCTGCAGGCCATCCTCTGAGACACCCAACTGTGGCAGTGGAAGAAAGAGCAAACCGTGGCTGACTGAGGCTGGGGTGGGAGCCACTCTGCAGCCTGGAGCTGCCCCTTGAGGACCCAAGGCCACAGGACGCCTCATTCCCAGCCTCTGGCACCTTCAGTAGAAACATGGCAGCCAGGGCCCCAGTGTCAGCACAAGACTGTGCAGTACCACAGCTGCGCAGGTGACCATTTCAGGCATGGGTGCAACAGTCATTAAGGCAGGGAGAGAAACTGACGCCCATAGGAAAACAACACTAGTGACAGCTACAGTTTATGAAGTGCTATCTGGTACCGGGACCAGACATCCACTCAGTGTCATATCACCCCAGGACCCACACCGTCACAGTTCACATGGCAAGGGTAGGACAGAGAGAAGCCATTGAGGCCAAGCTGCTCAGAAGTAGCAGTGAATGAGCCACACAATTGGGCAGCCCCAGGACCCTGCAGTGTTGAGAAGTCCTGAGTCACAGGAGAGACAGGACAGCAGAGTGGCTAAGAGCAGAGAGCAGGGGTCAGTGCACCAAGGGTCAAGTTCCAGGTGTGCTAAGGGGCCTTGGTTTCCTTGTCTGAAGAATGAGAGCAATGAACCTCCTTCCTGGGGCCGTTGGGAGGATTCAATGAGTTGGTGTGTGACAAGTGTCTAGAATGTTGGCCAGCACCTACAGGTGCCGAGGAGGTATCAGCCACTGCATCATTCTACTTTGAGGAGTAAGTGAATTATTTCATGCCCAAAATGCAACCAGGGCTGAGCAGCGTTGCGGTTATCTGTGACACCATGGGGGACAGTGTTCTGGCCACTGAGCACAAGGAGGCCCTGAGTCATCTGTTCAGGACAGACCTCACCACAAACTGCAGAAAAGCAAGTTAAGCCTTGGCTGGGCTTGGCCCATGTCTGGCCAGCCTCCCTGACCTCCCCCAGGGCTGCTGCTTCCCACCTTGGCCAGGTCCTCTGGGCTCATGTGGCGTAGCATGTCCAATGAGATGCGGTGATGGGCAAAGATGGGCAGGTAGTGATCAGCTGACAGTTCCACCAGGAGGGCCACCAGCTGGCGCTCCATGCCTTCTTCCTGCAGGACAGACCCGTGGGACAGGCCAAGTGAGTCACAAGCAAAAAGGGGGAAAAAGAGGAAGCACAGTATATGTAGGAAAACAGAGTGCATTCTTTTTTTTTTTTTTTTGGTGGGACTGGGGTTTGAACTCAGGGCTTCGCACTTGCAAAGTAGGTGCTCTACTGCTCGAGCCACACCTCCAGCCGGTTTTACTCTGATTATTTTGTAGATATTTCCAAAATATTTCCCAGGGCTGGTCTTGATCCACGATCCTCCTGATCTCTGCCTCCCAGGTAGCTAGGATTTACAGCCATAAGACACTGGCACCCAGCTCAGAATATGCTATTGAGAATTTCCCTACAAAAACACTGTGTGTGAGTCCATAGACACACACCCAAGAGATCTCCCTGCCATTCTACTGGCAAACCTGGAAATAGTAAGTAGTAAGCAACATCCACTGAGAGGGAACGATTCAAAGAAACCAAGGTCCCCCACATACGAGATACAACGCAACTGCCTGGAAACGAGGAGGAAGAGCTATGTGTGTGCACTGTGAGCTGTCCAGCACTATTTCTGGGGGAAAAGCAAGTTACCAAATGTATATATAGAATGGGAATGACTGAATTTTTATTAAAAGTCATTGAAAAAAGGTGTGTGGGGGGTGGGAGTGGGGAAAGGCGTGGAGTGAGCTGCATCTGTCCTGCCCGGGCAGGGCCTCTGTGGACAGCTGCTCTTGTCCACACACACTGAGGCTCACACTGGGCTTGGGCTCGCTGGTCTCTACCCATACAGCCGTGACTGGTGCCTTTGTTTCCCCCTCACTAGAGTGAGTGCCCTCCTCTTCCCCTTTCCTGTCCCTGCAGGGACCTGGCCCACTGGAGTCATCAGGAAGATAAACTGAATCAAAGTGAAGTGTTTGGCAGCATGGGTCAGGAGGAGAGCCTGGCTGAGCAGCACTGGCCTCCAGGCCAGGTGGGCACGGCCCCTCAGTCCTTACCTGCAGCTTCAAGGACAGGGGCTTCTGGTTCAAAAGTCGTTGATACTGAATGAGCCAGTAATTTTCCTGCTTCGTTTCGCTTTTGGCTTCTAACTCTGTCTGCCAAAAACAGAAGCAGGCCACGTTACCTGCAAATCAGTAAATAAAGGCATAACAAGACTGGCTGGGAATGACACTCCTCTAAGCAGGTGGGTGGCCCTTAGGATTTTACAAAGGACCTTCCCACCTTTAAACTACTGAAATGAAACAGGCAGGAACATCACTGCCCTGCTACTCCAGGGAATGACCTCAAAGAAGGTAACTGAGCTAGCTGGTGCCACACGTGGTCAGGGGGAGCCCCTGGACCTGGGCTTCTGCCACCTGTCCCACATTCTGCCACTACCTGTCAGAGGGACCCCTTGTCTGCTTGTGGGAGACAAGCAGTTATCTCTTTCCCCCCCACAAAGTTAGGACTGCCTCTGGGTGCCAGGCAGGTGCTTCAGGATTCTCAGGACTTCTGCAGAGGGTTTCCCCATGGCATGAGGCTGGCAACAGTGACTCCTTCTTCCTTCCACCACTTGAGAAAGTAGCCCCAGTGAGCCACTCTGCGCTGGCCCTCTTCTAGGTGCGGGGATAAAGCAGCAATCATTGCAGTGACCACGGTAATGACTGCAGTGGGTACCCCCCAACCCCCGAGAGTGCTCTGTGCCACGCTGGGCTGTGCACTCAAAGATAAATTTGACTTTCCCAACTATGTGAAGGGGATCCTACCTCCCAGGGGAGGAAACTGAAGTCTGAGGGAATGAGTAATCCTCCTGGGGTCAGGGCAAGGTCCAGACCAGGCTTGTCCTCCCGGGAGCTATGCTCTGAACAGCCACAGCACACACTGTGGGCAGGGTGGGACATGTGGATGGGGTCTCAGTGCAGGCATCTCTGGGCCCTTTCTGGGCCCGACTTCCTCTTTTGTTTTTGGTGGTATTGAGGCTCGAACTCAGGGCCTCACACTCGCTAGGTGGGCGTTCTACCACTTGAGCCACTCTGCAGTCTCCAACTTCCTTTTGGACGCCCCTCCTGGGCCTTATGGAGGTAGCTGCCTCTTCTGCCCTTGGCCCTCCCTAAGCCATGGATACCCGTCCTTTTCTTTCTCTCTTTTTTCAGTGTTTTGGAGACACAGTTTTGATACACATCCCAGGCTGCCTGAAACTCTGACCCTCCTACCCAGCCTCTCACATGCTGGGATTACAGGCATGTATCACAGAGCCTGATGATACCTCTCCACTCTATGCCCAAGTTTCTGATTGGTCTTCTGAGCTGGTGCTAGATGTGCAGTCTCGGCCCTGCTCAGGGCAGCAGCACGGGCATAGCACAGGGCAATACTCACACATTAGTGTGATGTGTGGGAGATTGCAGAGAGGCATTGCGAGGAACAGAGCGCATATTTGTGACGGGCACAAATATGGCACTTTAGGCAGGCATGTGCTCCAGAAGGAGCTGGCCTCTCTCTTAACTTGGCCTAGGATGTTTGAACTCTTGGGCGGAAGTAATCCTCCCCTTGCAGCCTCCCAAGTAGCCAAGACTATAGGCATGTACCACCACACAGGACTGGGGTATGCACCATTTTATGTCTAAAAGCACACACATGAATAGCTAAAATATGCATTATGATGTTTAAAATACACACCAAACTGTTAGTGGTAGATGACTCTCAGAAGTAAAATTCTTTTCCTTCACACTTTCCACTCTCCCTTTGACAAATACCTATTTCCTGATTAACAGAAAACCCGGCCAGCGTGTCTAGGAGATGCAGCCCGCTGTGGTGCATGGGGACCGAGCACGTACCAGGATGGTGCGCAGCTCTTCCTCCCGCTGCTTCTTTTCTTTGAGCAGCTGCTGGAGCAGAGAGCTGAGTGCCCAGCGCTGCTCTGAGACCATTTCCTGTAACACAAAGACCACAACCAGGCCACAGTCAGCTCTCTCTGCACCAGGGGTCCCCAGGGTGTGGTGGCGGGATGGAGACGGGTGTGGCCTGGGATCCCTAATCACTCAGTTTGTAGCTGAAAGCTCAATTCAGGGCTCTGTCCAAGGCCTCTAGGCAGAGTTGGGGGACAAAGCCCCATGACCCCTTTGCCCTGGCATCCCACCCACCCTCTTTCCACGAAGCTCACAGCTCCTTCCTTGTGGGCTTAAGGCCAGGCATAGAAAACTAGTGATTGATGATGATGGGGTGGTGAAAACATCAAACAAAAGAAATGATAGCCACAGGTCAATGACCACAGAGCACTTGACGGAAGCATACGGCAGGGGTGGGGGGCTGGTACGGAGCCCCACATGGGTAAGGAAGGAGCCGCACGGGGAGGCACATGCAAACTGGAGCTGTGTTTGTGGGCATGCCCACTCATCCTCTAGCCCTTGGAACCCCATGGAGCCCCAATGGTAGCCCTGTGGATCTAGTGGGCAGCTTCTCTGAGTAACCCTAGCCCCTCATCTCGGAAGACTGCTTGATGCTCACTCAGAGCCTCTGCCAGGGAGAGGCAGTGACATGCTTAAAGTCACAGAGCCCATCCTTAGCAGACACAGGAGCAGGGCTCCAGGTTCCAGTACTCTCAGTGCACTGGGAAGCTTGTGAGACAACTTGAGACTCCCTCAACTAAGCAGACACAGGGACAGTGACAGATGGAAGACTGCTCAAAAGCCTGGCATGAGCACACGGCCTCACACATGGACCCATCCAGACCCTTTGTGTACGTTTAGGGAGACAGGTCCCGATAAGGACAAGGGCCGCCTCTCCTCTCCACCTGCCAAGGTCACACAGCAAAGCAGTGGGAGACCACAGCTAGGCCAGTCTAGACCACTGTCTGTCAGTCCCTGCTGCCCTCTGGCGTCCATAAGCAGGACACGCAAGCTGAAGCCTGCAGAGACTGGCCCTCTCCTCAGACACCCTTGGAACACCAAGAAGTTTCTTCTGCAGAGAATGTCAGCCCAGAGAGTGGAGCCAGCGGCCCAGAGCATGGCTTAAAGAGAGAGGGCTCAGCGGCAACCAGCTTCCAACAAAGGCAATGTGGAGACAGCAATGTGGCCTGGGGGCCTTGGCAATGAAACCCTCCTTCCTCTGACCCGCCTGCCTAGTACCAGGCCACCCAACCTCTGGCCCTGATGTGGGCCAGGCCTCCTGGAGACCAGCCAGAGAGGAGACCTGTCCTGTCTACTAGAGCACCCCACGCCATGAACTCATGAGCAACTGCCTTGGGGCCTGGAGGGGTGTAGGAGGGTGGCAGGCCGGGAGCCCTACGTACCTGCAGTGCCTCTGTGTCCAGGGACTTCCTCTTTAACTCCAGCTGTGTCAGCTGCAATAACTCAGTTTCTATTAACCTAATCTAAACAGAAGATGAGACAGGGGGTTTATTCACTTTAACCAGGTGTAGTTTCATGCTGCTCTCCAGGGGCCAGATGGGGTCTAAGAAACCTTCCTGTGGCTCACAGTGGAGAGGAATCTCTAGCTTAGGGACTTCAACAGGACATGGCGTAAGAAGAATCCCCTATGTCATGCCTCTGGACACCTTGGGGCAGACACACTTGTCTTGGTCAATACCACTGACCAAGAGCCCAGCACAGGGCACTGAGTTAAGGTTGAGGGAGAGGGGCTTCCTTCTAGATCTGAATGAGCAGGGAGATACATTCTCCGCTGAACCTTATACTTGTCAGCTTCTCTTGCTTTCTCTATGTGGCTGCTATGGGGGAGCAGAGGGCAGTGGGATTGACTGAATAATAGTAGTAGGTATTTATTGAGCAAGTACTGTGTGCCATGCCTGTGCTGGTGCTTTACCTGCATCATTTCACCAGTTCACCTCTGGCTGTGAGGATGTATTATTGTCTCCATTGTACAGACAAGGAAACTGAGGCTCGGAAAAATTAAGTAACTTGCCCAAGGACACAGAGCAGGTAAGTGAAAGCCCTTTCGTTTCCAGCTCAGGGGCTGAAGGGGACCAGCTGGCCTGAGAATGTCTGGGGTCACCATACACTCTCAGGTGTGTCTAGGGGTCAGACCTAACAAGCCAGTGACTTCTCTATGCCATGATTCTGTGGCCCTCTTCCATGCGTGAGTCCCCTGACCCCACCCACCCCTGGTCAGAGGAGTGAGCTTCACGTCCAGCAACGTGGGATTGAAAGCAAAGAGGTAAGTTGCTTTAGGTCAAATGAAAAGAAAGAAAGAAAGAAAAAAAAACAAAAAAACCATGCAAAAACATGAAGTTCAAAGGTGCTGAATATGAGGCAATGAGCGTTCCCGTAGTCCAGAACCTGCATCCTCCCGGGCCCCAGCCCCACTCGACAGAGGCAGCACTGAGGCTAAAGCATGAGGCCCTTACAGGTCAGCAGCTGAGTCCATGTGGGAGTGTGGCCAAGGTCTTTCCTCAGCAGATGGCAGGACCCTCATCAGCTCAGCACCCGCTGCACCCTGGGTGGAAAATCCACCCGGCCCAGGAGGCCTCATTGCTTGCTCAGTCAGTCTGAGATCATGGTTCTGGGAGCTGAGCCAGCTGTGTTCCCCAGCAATGGAGTCCTGCTGGGCCCTGATCAGCACAGAGGCCACCTGAGCGGTCAAGGCCACTGCCCTTCCCCAAGCCTGGCTGTCATGAAACACAGAGACAGGCTACAACTGTCAGGCAGGACTGTGGCCGGGCTTTGGGATGAGGGCATCTCCAGGACCATTCAAGGTGCTCACCGGCAGACCCACACTGGTCTTCCAGAAAAGGGAGGTCCCCAAAGTAGAGGCTTCTTGTGAGCTGTCAAGCCAAGGACTCAAGCCTCATGACCACTGCCTGGTGAGCTCGCACTCACCTGGTTCCTGATCTGCCGATGCATCAAGTCTTTCTTCACCTGGAGAGCCTCAAACGCAGCCTTTTGCATTGCACTCTGCAACAGACCGTGCACAGGCCACTCAGCCCGGGCTATGTACCCTGGCTGTCCCTGGGGCCAAATCTGCACACAAAATGCTTTCAGAGGTGATTTTTATGCTTCTTAAGGAGAGTGAGAAATAACTTTTCACTTAACTTGCTTATACTTTGACAAATTTTGAAACAATACTTAAAAGAATACCATTAAAGGCTTACTAAGGCTGGCCATGCTCTTCCCTCTTTCCAACCACACACTCAGGTTCTATACACCACAGTGTCCCTGCTTCTGCTGCCCCATCTCGCTGAGGGCAGTGAGGTGCAGAGCAGGGAACTGGCTGACTCCCGGACACCCTAAGTCTGCCCAGCCCCCAAGCTTCTCCCTCACCTGAGGCAGGTGACCACCCTGATCAACAGAATTCTCCTTACACCAATCCCACAAACACATCATCTCCCATATTTTGGGAGAATAATGAGACTGGAGTTAGAAAGAAAGGAGAGAGGGGAAGATGGCTGAGCAGAATTGGATGACATCAATGCAAAGGAAAAGGAAGGGAGGTAAGGGAGGGCAGTGAGGAAGCTACAGGCAAAAGGCTGAATGTGACCACCTGGACCTATGGGGGCCTTGCTTGATCCACCTGATGGATGACAGCTAAGGAGGAGGACAGCAGAGAGAGCAGTCCTGGGAGGCAAGGAGAGGCAGAAGCCTCACCTCGGTGGGCACTGTCACCTCTTGCCCCTCGGTTTTTAGGATGTGTCCCTAGCTGGGACGGGAGGTGGGTGCCCCCGGGGAGTGGAAGTGGTGCTTCTCTAGATTCAGTGCCCTGAACCACCCTGGAGGCTTCTCCTGCCCTTGGATCCTGAACTTTCCACATGTGCAGGGTCACAGAAATCCAGGTCCTTACACTCAGTGTAGGCCAGGGCCCCGATCCCAGCCCTCGCCTCAGCCCTGGGCAAAGGCTCACCTCCTGCAGGATCTGGCTGATGGCTTTGTTCTGATCCATCTGCTGCCAGGACAGAATCTGCTGGAAGCGCTCGTCCATCTCAGCCATGCTACCAGGAAGATAGTAGTCATTCACCTGAACATTTCCCGAGCACCTATTGTGTGCTCAGGAAACCACTTACTCATCCAGCAAGACTGACGGAGCCCCTGCTGGGCAGACATGGAGTTTGCTGAGTCTCATGACCTGGGAGGAAGGTGGTGGAGCCAGGAGCTGGCAGAGAGAATCTCCTGGGTCCTCTGGCTCAGCCCTCCACAGAATCCCCTCCGCAACACCCTCCTGACATGGATGCCTGGCCTCTGCCCCACCACCTCCATGGTGGGAGAGCTCTGACCTCCCAGCCAAGAGCCACTGGGCTGGAGGAACATCCCTCTTGGGGTTCTGCCCTGGCTGTGCTCTGGGCTCAGCTCTCCAGAACAAAGTTGGTGACAGTGGTACAAATCCTCCGGTCTCACATACGCCCATGCTTCCATTCGGTCTTGGCATTGACTGTCAAGTGGCAGGCTTATATATCAAATCCTCCAACAGCCCTATGGGTAGCTACTGGGATTGACCCATTTTTCTGACAAGAAGTTCACAGCTCAGGGAGGGAAACCAACTTGTCCCTAATTTCACAGCTGGCAGCAGAAGTGTGCCTGAGCTCTCTGTGCCCCAGAGCCTGGACTCCTGAGTACCATCAAGAAAAGAAAGAGCGATGCTGGCCTCTGAGGGACACAGGGAGGCTGGCATCATGCCTGGGAGAGGGCAGTGGTGCTGAGGCAGCCAGGGCTGCAGGACCATGTGGGCTGCTGAACACCAACTGAGTTTTCCCGCACTGGCTCTGCCAGGCACCCGGAACCTTCATGTCCACAGTGCACAGTGAGTGATCAGGACCCAAGAGCAGCGGCCATCAGCATGGAAGCAACCCCACCTCCTGGCACTTCCTACTCCCAACCACAGACCTCGGAGATAGACAAGTCTCCGACACACTTGCTGGTGTGCTGTAAAACGGAACTAATAACCACCTAGTCCTGGTGTAGCCGAATGCGTGGCCTACTGCGTGGCACACAGAACGTGCATGAGAAGCGGGCATGGCTGTAATCACTTACCACTGCCCAGATCATGGTCCAGCTAGAAAAATTCAGAAGGCTGGTTCCCACTTGTCCCTGGTAGCATGGCCGAGGCTGAGGCAGCCCAGGGCAGGGGACTCCAGTGCCCAGCTCCCCTCCCAGTCTTGGGTCCCAAGCCAGCTCCCCAGCAGTCCTCACCTGGAAGGCCTCTTCCTTACCTTACCTGGCACAGGCCTGCTGGACCAGGCTCTGCCTCTGGGACTCATAGGCCATCTGGATGAGGCGGCTCTTACAGCTCTCGGTCAGCACCTGTTGCATGGCAGCTGTGGGGTGAGAGGCAGCTGAGAAAGGGGTCACCACTCCCACTGTACCCAGGCAGGGATGCCGCAGGGGTTCCCGAGTCTGGGACAGGTCTTGACGCTTCCCCTGCTTACCTGCCTGACAATCACTCTTGAACAGTCTCTTCCTAACTGTAAAAGTGATCCACACTCAGAAGGCTGGTAACCATAAAACACTGACTATCAGACACAAAAACTCTTCTATAATCTTTTCGCCCTGAAACACGACATTTTGACATATATTCTTCCAGTCAATTTTTATGTACGTTTATGGAGTTAAAAAAAAAATAAAGGAGCCGGGTGCTGTGGCTCATGTCTGTAATCCTAGCTACTCACGAGGCAGGGATCAGGAAGTGGTTCAAACTAGCCCAGGAAAATAATTCATGAGACCCTATCTTGCAAATACCCAACACAAAACAGGGCTGGTAGAGTGGCTCAAGCAGTAAAGTGCCTACCTAGCAAGTGTGAGGCCCTGAGTTCAAACCCTAGTACTGCCAAAAAAAGTAAAAAAAAATTTAAAAAATTAAAAAATAAAAGAACCAAAAAGCAGGGAACCAAACAAGCAGGGAACCAAATTAATATTTATACACTAATGTTTATAGCAGCAGTATTCACAAGAGCTGAAGGGTGGAAACAAGCCACATACCCACTGAGGAATGTGTGGATAAACACAGTGTGGTACACACGTGCAATGGAATATTATGCAGCCTTTAAAAAGAACATCTGACACTTGCTGCCTGATAAACCTTGAAGATGTTATGCTCATTGAAATAAACCAGACACCAAAGGACAAGTACTACAGAGCGCCACTTCTATGAGGGACCTAGGGTGCTCAAATTCACAGAGACAGGCATACAAGGGTGGCTGCTAGGGACTCGGGGAGGGAGAATGTGAGTGTCTAAGCAGAACAGGGCTTCATTTTGGGAAGATGAAGAGGTCATGGAGATGGGGGTGGCGACAGTTATGTAACAATAATGCCCTTGAACTACTCATCTTAAATGGTAAATTTCATCTTATGCACACTGCACTGTAATAAAAATAATGAAAATGGGAGACCAGGAGTGGTGTCTAGTACCTGTGAAAGTAGCTACTGCAGAGGCAGAGATAGGGAGGCTCCCAGTTAAAAGTTAGTGAGGCCTCATCTCAATCAATAAGCTGTGTGTGGTGGTGCCTGTGGTCCCAGCTACTTTGGAGGACATAGGTAGGAGGATTGTGGTTTAAGGCTAGATAGGGCAAAAATTCAAGACTCTACCTAAAAAAATAACTAAAGCAAAAAAGGGCTGGAGTCATGGCTCAAGTGGTAGAGCACCTGCCTAGCAAGTGTGAAGCCCTGAGTTCAAACCCCAGTGTCCCCAAAACAAAACAAACAAACAAACAAAAAAAAATGGTTATCACATTAAGCATGGCATTTTTCACCTTTTCTGGACACTTGTCCATGCCAGCAGGATGACGTGATGCTTATGGCTGCAGAGGATTACTGTGTGGCTTATTAAAAGTTATTTAGATAATCCTGGACTTTAAAGCATTATTAAATGATACTTTGATAAACATCCTTGCTCAAATATTTTGAGAACATCTGACTATTTGATTATTCTCTAAGAACAATTCTTGTCAGTACAACTTTAAGGCCGTGGATAATACAGTGGGGTCCCCTTCCTCCCTCTGGGAAGACCCTGTCCCTGTGCCACCTCAGGCAGCGAAGGCTGGCCTGACACTGTGTACCCTCCATTTGGGTGCTACCTTTTCCTGCCTTTTTGTTATTTTTGTTGAAATTTTCCAGTTATGACAATACAGGAGGGGCTGGTGGGGCTGGTGGAGTGGCTCAATTGGTAAAGTGCCTGCCTAGCAAGCATGAGGCCTTGTGTTCAAACCCAGTACTGCCAAAAAAAAAAAAAAAAAAAAAGAGCAGACAACACAGGGCTGGCGTGTGGCTCAGTGACAGAGCACACACACATACACAAAAGCAGCTTATGCTAGAAAGCTAAGCAGCAGGGAGGGTAGAGAAAGGTGTAAACAGAGTTTCAAACCAATCCCACTCCACCAACAAAGTGGCAAACGGCTCCCCGAGACCATCCACAGGTTCCCTTTTACAAATGGTGATATGGTGCCCTCACCCCACCTAGGGTGGGGAGGAGGCAGGTGGCACAGTCTCTACTGTCAGTCCTTGTTAACAAGGACAGGCAGCACCTGCCCAGCGATCCTCAGCCCAGGTCTGGAAGTCTCAGGGCTGTCAGGAAGGGGGAGAGAGTGCCCATAACTCAAGAGAGGCTGACCCCAGCTCTCAGTGGGCACAGCCAGAGCAGCCAGCTTTGTGATGCACTCAGATTCGATCAGCAGGACCTCATCTGGGAGTCCCTCCTGATGACCCTATGAGGGGCAGGAAGGGAGCTAGTGTTTCCACTACTTTGTAGAAAAGAAAACCAAGGCTTGGGAAAGTTGGGAGGAGTACCGTCCCCCAAGGTCATGAGGCTAGTGTCTGAGCTGGACTCTCAACCCAGGCAGAGCCAGCCTGCTACTCTCGAAGGCTGATGCACAGGTGACCAGCAGAAAGGGGTTACCTCCCCCAGCCCAGCCACCAGGCACGCTGCCTGCAGGCCTCGGCCTCCCCATCCTAAAACTCACAGGCAATCTCACGGCGCCTCAGGTTTTCCGTCTCTTCCTGGGTTATGGCCATCAACTGCTCCATTCTTATTCTAGGAAAAAACATCCATCCATTCAGTTGGCAAATCTAACATTTCCAACAGGGAGTCCCAATGGATGAGCGTCACCTCCTCCAAGAAGCCCTCCCTCATGTGCTCCCTGAGTGCCCAAGACATCACACGTGTCCCCTGGGGTCCTTTAACCTTTGGCCTTAGAGCTAGGGGCACCTGGTGTAAAAAGATGAAATTTTCCTTAGAAAAGTGGGTCAAGAATTCCAAGAGCTAATGCTTCAATACAGCGACCAATAAACAAACGTGAAGGTGTGGAGTGTCACCCGGAGCTAAGAAAGTCAGGTCTTCCCATTTGCTGCATTGTTTGAGATTAAGAACATCGATATGCCACATGTGGTGTGCATGCCTGTAATCTCAACCAGCCCTGACACAGAGTTAGCAAGACCCCATCTCAATAAACAAGTCGGGCACACCTATAATCCCAGCTACATGGGAGGCGTAAGTGGTTGGATCACGGTCTGAGGCCAGCCCCAGGGTGAAAAGCATGAGACCCTATGTGGAGAATAACCTAAAGCACAAAGGGCTTGGAGGCGAGGTCAAGCAGTAGAGCACTTACAAGGGCAAGGCTCTGAATGCAAACCCAGAACTCCCAAAAGAAAAAAAAAAAGTGCTCTGTGTATTTTGCTTTAAATGCAGTGCCCACCCCCCCCCGCCCCACTAAGCAATGGATTATGAGCGTTTTCCCTTGAGGGACGCAGTGGCCTTGGAGTTGGACTGCAAACCGTCCAGAGATGGTTGAAGTACACTGAAGGACGTATGGGGTACAGGTAAATATACTCGGCCATTTTACTGAGGGACATGAGCCACTTCAGGCTTTGGAGTCTGCAGGGGACCTGGAGCCAATCTCCCTCAGACGCCAAGGGTCAAGTATATCAGATTCTTTTTATTGCTACCAATGTGGACTTTTTTCTAAAGTTTTTAGACTCAAAATATAGTTGGACGTCATACATCCAGCCTCAGCCAGTGGCGTTTCTGCATCTCCCGGGTCTGAGCCTGTGCTCTGAGGAAGCGAAGGCAGCGATTCTTAGTTAGCTGCTCTCTAGGGCGGTGAACCTCCTCCCCACTTCAGGTAACCTGCTGACACAATCCGGGACATTCTCTCCCTGGACCTGCAGCCCTGGGGACGCTTACCTCTCGTTTTCCAGTGACTTCAGAATCTCCGAACTTTTCTTTTGTCTGTGGAGAAAACCAGAGAAGGTCCCTGCAGTCACCAGCAGAGCTGACCCTGGCCTCCCTGGCTGTGAGGGGGCTTGTGACTGTGTAGAGACACCTGAGCCCACCACTCAGGAAGTCTCAGGCCAGAGAGGTCACTCCAGGCCTCACCTGTGACACAGGAATAAAAACAAACAAACGAAACACTTCTTGGGTTGTTTGTAAAAAGTCAATGAGAAAACACATGAAGCGCTTGGTACACAAGAAGCACCCAACAGATGGTCACTTTCCCGGACTCAGTCAGACACTTTGTCATTGACAGAAAGCTGGAGACAGAGGGGGATGGGGCTAAAGCCAGTTTGTGGAATCCTCCTCAATGGACTCCCCAACTAAATGTTCTTGATCTCTACCTGACCCCTTTTTCCCCAGCCTCATCAAGACCTGCTCTTAGTAGCTTCTACCTAGGACAGAATTAGTTAAGTTAAATCTCACTATAGTGTGAATGGCTGACCTCAGAACCCAAAATCTTGGAGCAGAACATGGTCTTACTTATCTTGCTGAACCCACTCATCTTATAGAGAACGGGCCAGTGTGGAAACGCTTGCCGGAGGACACAGATGCCACCAGTAAGGTTGTAAGACAAGAACCCAGACCTTGGAATGGCTGGGGCAGGCTCTTTTCTCTGCAAGTCAATGCAAACTGAAGGCCCTGGCCTGGACCCTCACAGGGCCTCTTGTGGGAGGGCCTGTGGATCTGGTTTAGACCAGGAGCTGACCTCTGGTTATCCTGCAGGAGTTTCTGGATGCGACCGGCGATGCTCTGCTCCGTCTGTTTCAGCTGCTTTTGCAGCCGCTGCCGCTCGGCATCTAGGTAGCGCTGGCGCTCATTCAGGCCCTGCTCCAGCCGGGACTGTTCCTGGGCGGAGGAGAGGGCCTGAGCCGCTGGGACCCCCACACCATGCACCAAAGAGGCTCTGAGGGAGGTAGAAGGTGGGCTTCTTGGCCCGTGTTCTGTGACCTTGGACTGGCTCCTTCCCTCAAGCCTCAGAGGGCCCACCTGCACCTGAGGAGGCTGGCCTGGGTGACTGGTCAGGGACCTCCCTTTTGAAGGGGATGGTGGAAGCAGTGTAATCCCCTGCCCTCCCACCTCAGGGGAACCTGGGCAGCATCGGGAGGTGGCAGCCGGGGCCCAGCCAGGGTGCTGCCCACTGCTCACCGACCTCCTTGACCGTCTGGAGGATCTCGTCCTTGTGGCTGTGGCTCTGCTGCAGCAGCTGGGCGTGCTCTCGCTGCCCCAGCTCCAGGCGCCTCTCGAACTCCAGCTTCTCCAGCATCTTCTGCTCCTGTGTGGACCGAGATGCACGCCTTTCACCTCTGATTTACAGCCAGCAAGATGCTATTTCCTCAAATATTTTAGTGAGAAGAAAACTGACAAAGAGAGAAGACCCCCTTACCTTCCGCTTCTCATAGTCGGAGAACCTATTCTGGGGGGAAAAAGGACAGTGGTCAGGAGAAGGTGGTGACTGTGGCTCTTGCTGGCAGGCACACAGGAACCCCTTGAATGGCCTGGCCTCAGGCAGACCCTAGCCCATGATCCAAGCTTGCTGCACTTGCATGGGCGGGGGAGGGATGAGCAGATGAAGAGCTGTGGAGGGCCCCAGGGGGAGAGCCTGTCACCGTGGGAAAAGCGCTTCAGGGCAGTGCTGGGGAGGCTGCACTCCTTGGGCTGGGAAATTCCATTTCCTGGAATGTGATGTCTGCAGACCTGCTTGCAGCATCCACTTGCAGCCTCCACCCCACTCGCAGGTGTGAAGGTATGAGTACAAGCTCCTGCAGTTCCTCCAGAGCAAACAAGGGAAGTCACTAAAATGTCTGCCAGTGGGCGACTGTGTCAGTGGGGCCCTGTGTATGGAGAGTGAAACAATGAAGACTGAAGCCAAACCCACACAGGTGGCTGGCACTCTTTCCCTGTGATGCTGCCCCGCCCATGGCCACCAGATGGCCTAGTTTGTGAGCCCCGGGTTGGGGACAACAAGGAACAAGGAACATGACAGCATTCTGCCTCTCATGAAGCTCCACCCACCAGGGAGACAAATTATCACTGAAGTTACTTAGCACAGAGCAGGCCTGATGGCGGGTGTTTTAGGGGTGATGTTTAACCTGAGAACCAGAGGGTGAACTGGGAGTGAGACCCATGAGTAGGGAGAAGTTCTGGCAGAGGGAACTGACTCAAAGGCCCTGGTGAGGGAAGGGGCTTGGCTTGCTCAGGGGACAGAGAGGAGCCCTGCTCAGCAGATGCTTGGTGAGCCTGTGGCATGAGGCTGTCAAAGGAGGCCCTGGAAAAGAAGCTAAGCCTAAAATAAATGTCGTACCAAAGTTCCTTACTTTGCATAATTAATATACTCTAAAAAAAAAGATAAAAGCCCAGCTGGAGGCATAGCTCAAGCAGTAGAGAACCTGCCTAGCAAGCACGAAGCACTGAGTTCAAGCCCCAGTACAGCAGAATAAATAAATAAATAAAATTTAAAAAGAAATAAAGCCCAGTCACTTAAAAAAAAAAAAAAAAGCAGTTAAGCCAATGGAGTGAGTTCTAGTTTGCCGGAGGCATTTGGGGGTGCAGCTCTGACCACCTCCTCATGCCAGCAGCCCTCCAACACACGTAGACACACCTATGAGTGGCATGGTGTGGGGACACACTTACACAACACACCACACAGGCCAGTGGGCGTGCTTGCCTCACCTGCCACTCCACCTCCTCCCTGGAGAACCTGTCTCTGGGCCCATCAGGGCTGTCCTGGGAGTTCTCAGCTCCATCTTGCTCCAGAACTGGTAGCAGGTACTGAGAAGGGGGGTAAAAGTCCAGCCCTGACTCTGTAAAAGATAGACACAAGCTGGCCAGGAGGGACCTGGAGTCGCCAGCCCCGCCCGGCCAGGCTCTGTCCACTGCTCCGCTGTGGGCCCTGCCGCGTGGCTCACTACGGCTGACCCAAGTGCAGAATGTGCAATGCTCAGTGTTAGCTGAGTGTTATGGCAAGCCGTCTATTTCTTCTATCCCCTGAGCGAGAACAACCCTGAGATCAGCCAAGAAGCCTGGGTTCAGGATCTGCTTTACTAATAGTCCTTTGTGTCCGAGACCGTGGGCAAGGCCCCTTCCTCCTCCAGCCCCGGACAGTTCACTTTCTTTTGCCTAACCTTTTTTTTTTTTTTTTTTTGGCGGGAGGGTACTGGGATTTGAACTCAGGGCCTCATGCTTGCTAGGCAGGCACTCTTCCACTTGAGCCACTCCACCAGTCCTCTTTTGCCTAACTCTTGATCTTCCTGCCTGAGTCTCCCAAGCACTAGGATTAGAGGTGTGCACCACCACACCTGGCTTTGCTCTTTTGCTGATTTGAACATGCTTTTTACATATTATAGTTAATAACATTGGGTCTATAATATATATTGCAGCTATCTTCGTCTAGGTGGTGACTTGGTTTTTTTTTTTAATTTGGATGATGTTGTCTATCAGAGGGAAAGGAGTTTTCCATTTTGATGTAATCAGTTATCTGCCCCCATCATCACAGCAGGCAGCGCACAAGAAATACTAAAAATGGACAGTAGATACAAGAAAAAATATTCAATTCATCAGGGGAGTGACAAGGACATAATAAGCTCTGTTTTTTATCAGTGACTTGTTTTTCTTGCCTTGCTGAGGATGGAACCCAGAGCCTCTCACATGCCAGGCAGAGGCTCCAGCACTGAAGCCACATCTAGCCACGGTCAGCAGGCTCTTTAAGACAATACCAAGTGATGGCTGGGTTGTAAGGGGTAGGGTCCTTTCAGACAGTCCTCATGGGTGTCAGGGAGGGGTCAGGAAAATGCTCCTAACTGCAGAAAACTGGAGACAAGCTCCTTGTTCACAAGAGGAGGGCTACATGAGCTATGGGGCTCTGCCGTGTGGAATACTACAGAGCAGTACACAAGGATATTTAAACCACAGTATGAAATAAGAAAGTGCTTAGGATTTATCTTCAAGTGGAAAGAAACAGAGCATTACCTTCTATAATTTATCTTTTATGATTTTTTTCTCTTATGTTTGTGAAAGAACAAAATGTTTTTACATATGCATATCTTCTACACAGTTGTTTGTGTGTTTGTTAATGCATTTATTTATTTTGAGACAGGGTCTCACTACGTAGCTCAGGCTGCCTCGGCCTCCCAAGTGCTGAGACTGTAAGCGTGTGCCAAGTGTCACATTGCCTACCTTTGTTAGCTATGTGCCATCCACACCCGTTTCCAACTTACGGCTTCCCTCTGCTTTCCCCACGCGTGGTATTTCCTCTTCCTCCCTCTCCCTCCCTTCTTTCTTTTGAGATGGGGAAGGGGATCTCACTATGTTGTCCAGCCTGGTTTCAAACTCCCAGGCTCAAGTGATACTCCTCCCTCAGCTTCCTTCCTTCCTTCCTTCCTTCCTTGTTTTCTTTTTCCTTTTGGCTCAGCTTCGTGAGTAGCTGGGACTACAGGTTCATAACACCTTGCCTGGCCCCTAAGTGGCATCTTCTGAAGAAGAGAAGCTTTGATTTTAATTCATTCTAATTTATCAACTGAATGGTTAGTACTTTCTGTCTTTTGCTTAAGGAAGAGTTTAAGGTTTGTTTTCTTTTTTTTCTTTTTTCTTTTGGCGGCACTGGGGTTTGAACTCAGGGCTTCAGGCTTGCTTGGCAGGCTCTCTTACCACTTGAGCCACCCCGCCAGCCCTACTGGCATTTGAACTAACGGCTTCATGCTTATCCATGATCCTCCTACATTACATCTCCCACTGTTGCTGGGATGACAGGCATGCACCACCAAGCCCAGCTTTTTTCCATTGAGAAGGGGTCTCACTGGTTTTTTGTCCAGGCTGGGCTGAAACTGTGATCCTCCTGATGTTAGGCTCCCAAGGAGCTAGGACTATAGGTGTGAGCCACTGGTGCCCAGCTTTTATTTTGCTTTTTTCTCTTTTGCAGTGCTGGGATCCAGGACCTTCCACATACTAGGCAAGCGCTCTATCACTGAGCCATACCCAGCACTGGGCTCATTGTTCTCCACAAGGCGATCCAATTGACCCAGGATCATTTTATGTTACAAAGGTCATCTGTTCCTACTGCTTTCTAACAGTGACTTCATCATAAATCAGATGGCACATGTATGTGAGTCTTGGCTCTGCTCTGAAGCTCCAGAGGTGACAGAAACTCCCAACTGAGCGTGTCCAATCTGACAGGGGTCAGTTGCTCCCTTCCTGGTGGCCAGGGCATGGGTGACTCCAGGTTTTAGCTTCTTCTGCTGCTTTGCCTGCCCTTCCTCCAAGTCTAGGTCATCATCATCTCTCCTCTGGTGATCCTACTGGCCCATCTGCCTTCCCATCCTCCACTACCTTCTTCTCACTGTATAGCCTGAAAGATTTTGTGAAAAGCAAGTCTCCTGCTGGACACTGAGCCTGGGCACCCTCTGGCTGCCTGCCCATCTCTCTTCCCTGGGCTCTGGCACTCCAGCCACACTGGCCTCGCCATAATGCCTCAAGCTCCCCTTACCCCTCAAGGTCCTTCAACAGCACCTCCTTCTGCTGGGAACATCTCTCTCTTCCAAGTTCTAGCCTCCCCTCAGGTGGTGCTTTCTCAGATGGGACTCCCCCAGCCCCAACCTAAACTGAACGTGCCAGGGTCCTCTCTCTGGAGCCCAGCCTGTGATTTCATTCCCCTATGTGGTCATTCATCGTGCCCGTTTCCTTTGACAGAGCCTGAGCTCTGAGTGGGCAGGGACTATGGAGTCTGGTCTCTGCAGTCCCCAGCCTGGGCAGCACAGTGGGAGCAGGGTGGCCTGCCTTACCTTTGCAGAGGAACTGCTGTATGGCCGCGGTGCCAGCGCCACACACCTCCTGTGGGGGGTACAACATGGATGAGGCGTCGAGGCTCAGCGTCTGTGGACACAAGGGTTCCTCTTTATTGTGTGGTTCATCTCATTGCCTAGCATGATCAGAAGCCACCGGATTTCATTATGAACGTGAATGATCACTGCCTCCCCTGCCTATCAAGCAAATTAAACCGACCTGGGTGGTACTGGTCACCATCAGTACCGTGTGGGGCTTAAGAGTGTGAACTCAGGCTGGTGGAGTGGCCCAAGTGGTAGTGTGGACTCTGGGCTGTACCTCCCCGTGTGGTGACTATAAGCCATGTGAGGCCTGGTACATTTTGCATCTTACTTAGCTAAAGTCACATCGGATTTATGACACATTTCCAGAGCTCATAGGCGGCCAGCACAGGTAAAAGAATGTTACATCATCGACAGGAGAAGTGCTCATGGCATTGATTGCCATTCTGAAGACTCATCCCTGGCTTTAAATTCCAGCCCAGTATGGTCCACTGTTTATCCTCGAACAGGTCACTGAGCTGCCCTGAGTCATGGTTCACTCAGCAGTCACACAGGCACAGTGTCACCAGCCTGGCAGGGTAATAGGTGACATCATTTGAATCGGCCTGGCACACAGTCAAAAGAGCCTCACTAAGAATGGTTGTGTTCTCAGACCCTACAAAAGGCTTGTCCCCAAAGAGGTAACAAGGGGGGAAAAAGGCTTGTCTGAGGTGCCATCAGTAGCTCCAAGGAGGTTCTTAAGGGACTGGAGACAGAGCATGCTAGACAAGTGCTTCACCACTGAGAGGCGCCCCGGCCCCCCAGAGCTCTATCTATAGTTCTTAAGTTGCCTGGTCTGTGGCATTTTGTTATGGTGGCCTAAGCTAATGCATACTGGGTCCCTGCTCCCAGACACCACCTTATGCTCTAATGATACCTGGTTTCCGCACTGCCATACCAAGGCTCAGGTCCCTCCTCCCCCCGCCCCCCGCCCACCCAGGCCCCTCTAACTCCCGGTCCCCCCATCCAGCTTCCCTGGGCTCCTATGATTTGGGATCCAGGCATAGTGACTTTCGATCACCTCACTTCCCCTCCTTATCCCACCTGTGCTTCCCACGTCCCACCTCTTCTTCCACCAGGCACTCCTGCTATAAATGTCTAGGTCCCTACATCTCATTCCTCCTCAAAGTCTGGCTCAAATGTCAAGACAGCCCCTGCAACTCAGCACTCCCTCTTCTTCACTCCAGACCTGAGTTTCTGCCTCCATGATGGCACCAAACCCACATCATGACACATGTTCCCATGTCAGTCTCTCTGCAGGCTCCTAAGGACCATGCCTCAGGATCTCTAGGACCTGGCACCCAGTGGTTAGGACAGGCACTCAGGAATTGTGGGGGGGAGGGGGACAAGCCAGAGAGGACCTAAAGAGACAATGGCTCCCCACTTACCTCCAGGGTCCGAACATGCGCTAGCATCTGTGGCAACCTCTGAATTTCATTTCCACTGATGTCGAGAGTACGCAGGCTTCGCAGCTCCCCCAAGGTGTCAGGCAGCTCCTTCAGCTTATTGTCTGGAAAGACCCCAGTGACAAGCTCAGCACTTCAGAGCCCTGTGACCACTTCCTTCCTGACACCCATAAGACTCAGGGGAAAGGAGGAAGGAGGTCATGCCTCCACTTACTAGCTGAGTGACTTTGGACAACTGACTTTAATGGTCCCTGGCCTCAGCTTTCTCAACTGTAAGGTGGGGATGACAAACACTATCCAGCCTCCAGGAGATATTGAGAGTGGATTAGTGAAGTACGTGTGGTCCTCAGCACAGTGTCGGTCACAGAGTAAGAGATCAATAAAGGGGGCAATTAGCTAAGCTGAGGACCTCTTCTGAGACTGCCCAGGGACAGGGAGAGGAAACCAAGGAGCCAGGTCTGTGATACAGGGGTTCTGTGGAGGGTACAGAGCCTGCGTAAGGATCTGGGCTTGTCACTACCTCGCTGGTACTCCCGGGCAGGTCATGGCTCTGAGCCTCCCTCTTCTCATCTGTATGCTGAGACAAACTCCACTGTCCTCCGTCTGCCTTGCAGATCTGTCAGGAGGCTGACCATACTGGCTGTTTGCTGAGTGTGATGTGCCACTAAGGACGCCGCGGTAGCTCCTCCATGGCCGTCACCAGTCAGCCCACTCTCTTCCCATCATTTGGCTTAGCTGTCACTGCTATCTGCCCTCCTCCCCAAAGGCCGGGCTCGGAGGAGTCATGGAACCTTCCAGATACCCTGTCTCTGGCTACCATGGAGACACCCGGATCCAGCAGGAGGTCAGTCTGTTTCTAGCATCACCCCTATGCTTAGTGGCTTCCAGGCAGAGCACAGCATGGGTCCTGCCTGGGATAGCCTGGAGCTGCCCAAAGGTCACATGGACAGGGCTTTCTGGCCTCCCACCTTTCACATTGAGGGTCTGAAGCTGGATCAGGTTCCCAATGGAGCGTGGGAGATATGCCAGTTGATTCCGTTCCATGTTCAATACCTAAGATAGAAAGAAATGACATGAAGAAGCGACACAGACAGCTGTGACTATGGCTGGACCTCTCACCCTTACTTTAGGCTAAATGTCATCTGAGCATTGCACACACATGCCTTCATTGCCTCATGCCAGTCCCAGAAGAAAGGTAGAGATTGTTATGGTCTCACCTGAGAAGTGAGAAAAACAAGGCTGAGTGAGGTCGTGTGCCCAAGAGAGCCAAGCTAAGACCAACACCTGCTTCTGACTAAAGTTTCATCACTTAAACTGACCACAAAATGCCCAGAACTGCTGCTAATCAGAGACAGGAAGTGCTGACAGAGGTGGGGCCAGGGTGAGGAAGGGCAGGGTTAGGTTCTAGTCATCTGGTGCATGATCTGTGCCAAGTCTCAAGGCTGGAGCTGGTGGTACTGGGATTGGACAGTGGCTGGATGGATTCCTAAGACTGTGATGCCTGCAGGATGTGACACCACTGGGTGAGCCAGATCAACAGCATGCCACACTAAGTAGCCATAAAAAATTGATACAATGAAAAGCCTAGTAGCTACTAAAAAGCATGTGACTGATAAATATCTGATGAACTAAAGGATGGATCACTGTCAGATGTTCAAAAGCTACAAAACTGTGAATGCAGCAATTCTATAAAAATACCTATACAAAAAAAGTCCCCTAGGGATTGCAGGCGGTGGCTCAAATGGTAGAGCACCTGCCTACCAAGCATGAAATCCTGAGCTCAAACCCCAGTACAACCAAGAAAAAAAAAAAATCCCTCAAGACACTATGCCAAACTATGTACTGTGGCTCAAGGTGGTGACAAACACTACTGTCTGATACATGTTCCCTATGTGAGCAGTTACAGTCACGTCTTTGGACTTCTGTAAAATGAGGTAACATCACCTACACGGTAAGGGTGGTCACTGATACCATTTCTTAGTTCTCTCCAGGGGCCAGGGGAAGCTGCTGTCAAGGACCACATTTCAGCAGGTGACGGTCAGTGAGCAGTGAATGCATAATTAATGGTGAGACTGCAATTAGCATTCTCTGGAAATAAGCCAGGAGAAGAAAAGATGAATAAGGGGATCCACTTAGACAGGGAGTGGAGCAGGATTCTCAGAGACATTGCACAGCTCCAGGAAGGGCCGCTCCAACAGAAGAGACAGCCCAAGCAGATCAGCATGCTGCAATGGGCAGAGAAGACAGAGGGTTTTAGGTAGTGACTATAGTGAGTGAAGGAGAGAAAGTAAGAGAGGAGGCTGGAAAAACAGCTGGGACTCAGCATTTGCGGTCTTCTTTTTCTTTTCTTTCTTCGAGGTACTGAGGATGGAACCCAAGGCCTGTGTATGCTAAGTGTGCACATTCCTACTGAGCCACACACCCTGCCTACACAGGGTCCCGTGTCCTCGTGAGGGGGGTGGATTTTTAGTTCTGACTACAGTGGGAGCCCCTTCTTCCTCTGTAGAGTGGGGCAGCACTACACACAGAACACAGGCCTCGCAGGATAGCTGGGAGGCACGGACAGTAGTGCAAGGGGCAGGCTTAGCTCAGAGTTGGCCTGGAGCAAGTGCTCTATCCATGCAGGGGCCGCTGTTGCAGTGAGCTGAGCGTCACAGTGGGGAATCCTTTTTTTTTTTTGTGGTACTAGGGTTTGAACTCAGGGCCTCATGCTTGCTAGGGCAGGCAATGCATTACCTGAGTCACTCCACCAGCCCTAGGAATTCTCTTTTTTTATTTAATCAATTATTTATTTATTTAGTGATTTTTAAAATTTTACTTCTTCAGAGTTTTCCATTATTCAGCTCAAGGAATCCTCTTTTTAAACATGTACACTCACTGGGTGTTTTCTTCCTTTAAAGCTGAGGAAGCTCATGGTGAATTCCCACCCAAAAAAGCACAGGTCCAAATGTAGTAGAGAGACTCCCACAGCCGACTGCATTGGTGAGGGGACTCAGACACCAAGTGCAGCCTGCGTCCACTGACCACAGTACAACCAGAACACTCCACCCTCAGAGATGGGCTTCTGGGTCCTGCAGCCTTACCTGCAGGGCTGTCAGCTGCCCTATGTCATCAGGAAGGGCTGTCAGCTGATTGTCATGGAGATCCAGAACCTGCAGAAGGATACCTCTCAGCACACAGAAGTGCCCAATAAACTACACCGATCAAACCCCAGGCTGAATATTCTACGAAGCCAACCTGACACAAGACCTGAGGTGGGTAGGGGAACCCAGATGCCTCCCTGGTTCAGTACCTTGATGGTTGCTAGGCTCAGGAGGCTGCAAGATTTGGGAAGTAGGGAAGTGAGGTGGTTCGTATGGACAATCAACACCTGTGAGGCAAAGATTAGCGAAATGTCAGCTTGCAGAAGAGCAGCAGGCAGGAAAGGCACAGGAGGCACAATGGTCCTGCCATGCCCAGGGTGTCTCTGCTCACGTGTATGGGGGATACTATCAGAATCACGGACATGCGCACACAAACCAGATGACGTTAGGATCTGGAACTCTGAGGGTGAAAGGGACTTTGGAGGTCTAATTCTATCTGCCATCCTGTGCAGGGATCAGCTGTCCTGATCTTAACCTTCCTCTTTAGTGTCTTTGTGGAAAACAGAAAATAAAGTAGCTGCCTCCAAGTCCTGCCACATGGTCCAGTGCTCAACCTAAGGCATATATCTCTATTTTTATTAGGTATCGAATGCTGCTTTAATACTTCCAGAAACAAAGAGCTCATGATGCTGCTGGTAACAGAGAGCACTTTTTACCTATTTGTGTCAACCTGCACCCCGAGCACAAATGCTGTGATGTTATTTTTTTGGTGGTGGTACTGGGCATTGGACTCAGAGCTTCAAGCAAGCATTCTACCACTTGAGCCATGCCGCTGGTCCTTTTTACTTTGGTTATTTTTTCACATAGGGTTTTTGACCCGGATCAGCCTCAGGCTGTGATCCTCCTACTTCCACCTCCTGCATAGCTGAGATTATAGGTGTGTACCACAATGCCTGGCTGCGACACTCTTCTGAAAACTCATTTATCCCTTCCCAATCTCTACTGGTGGCCAGGGTAAAATGAGAGTAGTTATCACAGTGAGGGTAATAAGTATTTACTATGTGACAGATATTATACTCGTCTCTATGAACTCCTTTAATTTGGACAAGACAGCAGAGCTATGAATGTCTTCACTTAACAGATGAAACAATGAGATGTGAGAGTTTAAAGGAGTCACCCAAATCATGAAACCAGGAGATGTCAGGGCCAGGAGTGGCCTAGGGTTTCTAAACCCACTACTTGCTCTCCTAGCTGTAACAACCCCTTCTACAGGCCAAAAGGGTGAAAGCCAGGGAGAAGGGAGGTGGCCAGGAAGATCGCTCCTAAAAGTCACACATGGTTTCCTACAGGCAAAACACGCAGTAATGGATTCTCTGAAAATGAAGACTGAACTCACCTTCTTCTGTAGAACTTTGCATGTTGCAAAAGCCCCAAATGGAATCTAAGATAAGATAAAGAGGCGATGGGTAAGTGCCTCTCTCCTGCCAGTTCCTCATGGTAATGACATGAGGGAGTGCTGGCAGGTGGTGAGCAAGGGTAAACACATAAAACACTAACATGGAAAATAGCACTCAGCTCAGCAGAGCTGGGAAGGAATGGTGCTGGGGGTGTGGCTGGCCCTCCTCCAATCAGCTGTCAGGAAACATCTGCCAGGCCCACCCTGCCCTACTCTAGTCCACCATTCCCATTCCACCCCATTCCCATCAGGGGCTGGAGAGTCCTGACTTCCAGTACCTGAGGAATTTGTGGTTACATTTTCTTCCTTCCTCTTTCCCTCCCTCCTTCCCTTTCTTTCTTTTTTGTGATTCTGGGGTTCGATCTCAGGGCCTCATGCTTGTTAGGCAAGGCAGGTGCTCTACCACTTGAGCCACTCTGCCAGCCCTCTTTTTTTTTTTTTTTTTTTTTATTTGAGACTGGGTCTGCATGTGTAGCTTAAATGGGCCTTGAACTTGAGATCCTACTGCCTCAGTGCTGGGATTATAGATGTGTGCCACCAAACTTTCTAATTAGACTTCTTGACTATTTTTTAGTTTTATTTTCTGGTGGTACTGGGGTTTGAACTCAGAGCTTCCTGCTTGCTAGGCAGGTGCTCTACCACTTGAACCATGCTTCCAGCCTGACTCCTTGACTCTTGCAGACTATGTTGAGGCCACAGGATTTTTCAATTCTTTTGGACAAGAATGGAATCTTAAGCAAACATCTCTTAACTAGCTCTTCTGGCCTTTTTAAAGTCTTAGTCCACATCTGTCTTTCCCAAGGACTCGGATTCCATGAAAACAGGACAGATTAAATTCACAGCCTCACCACCTTCAGTTTACCTCTGAGAGCTCACATTTAGAGATGTCGAGAATGTCGTCTGCTCCAGCTTCTTTTGCCTAAGAAGGAAAAAAATTTTTAAAATTAATTAGTTAATTGTTTATGTGTGTGTGTTGCTGGGGATCAAACCCAGGGCCTCAAGCATGCTAGGCTAGTGCCTTACTACTGAACTAGATCCCCAAGAATATTTTTTAAAGTGTTCAAGCAACACGCCCTTATGGTGTGGACAACCCAGGCAAAAAACACAGAATTAAGGACCTGGAAGGGATCACAGACACCATCTGATTCCACTGTACAGGTAGCCCAGTAATCCTGGCTTTGCTGGAGCTTGAGGTCCAGCAAAGAGAAATCAGCAAGTAATAATGGGAGTGGAGGGGAGTGCACTGGTAGGGGTGGGGAGGCAAGGAGGGGGCATAGGTTGTGTACGGCAGAGGGGCTTGGAACGAGTCAGAGGAGGTCCACTGTTCCTCACCAGGCACATCTGGTACTCCAGGCGTTTCCGAGCCTCCTCGCTGGGTTTTCGCTTCCGGAAGAAGAGTGGCATCGTTCTCTTTCCCCAGAAAGATCTTCAGGAGCCTGGGGCATAGAAGAGAAGTGAGGACCTGGGACTTTGTCACAATCCCCGACTCCACAGGCAGGCAGCACAGTAAGCCAGAGCATGTGGCTGGTATGCAGGATGGAGAGCTCCATGAGGGCAGAGCTGTGTCACCTTGTTTATCAGAGTTCTGAGTTCATACAGCAGTGCTCAACACTCTGGCAATGAAACACTAAGCAGCAAGATGGGGTGGAAAGAGCACACAGGCAGGCCAGGTGACCTGGGTTCTGGTCCACATTTGCCAGCGAGCCACTGACCCACTGTGAGACCTAGGCCATTCTCTCTCCCCATACCAGGTCCCATCTCTCCTCCATCTTAGGGAAGTTCCCCAGATGCCTTCCAAGGATGCTCTCTGAGGACTCTAACAGACTCAGATGATGGGTCACTTCTAGCCCCTGTCAGAGTGGCATGAGCAGGACCAAACTAGACCCAGCCATGACTTGGGAAACTCAACTACATCAGCACTACAGAGGTGAGTTAAATATATGTTATATAGCAACCTTCGGCACTTTACCTACCTCGCAGTTATTATTCCATTTGATTCTCACCACAGCCCTGTTTATAGTGGAGAAAGCATGCTCATTAATTCCAGTGATCTGGTTACTCAGCCTGGAACCCTGGTCTTTCAGGTCCTGGTCCTGCGCAGTTCTCCCAACTCCTTGATGCTCAGATAACTCAGCACACACTAAATACGCTTGGAAACTGGTGCTCTCTGCCTGCCAAGGCCTGCACAGTATCTGTAACCATCACTGCTCAATCAGGGGTAATAAGCAGGAGACAATCAAAGTGTGTGGCTAACAACCTGAGCTTTGAGATGAAATATTACTGGGTGTGAATTCAAGATCTGCCACCCATCAACTGTGTCACTTTTCGGGAGGGGGGCACTGGGGTTTGAACTTAGGGCTTTGAGCTTATTAGGCAGGCACTCTACCATTTGAGCCACTCCTCCAGCCCCTGTCAACTGTGTCACTTTTGATTTGCCTCTTAGAACCTTAGTTTCCTTATCCATGATGTGTAATGATACTATCAACACTGGGTTCTGGGAGGATTCAATGATTTCATATACGCACAATACCTGGCAAAGAATGCTCAACAAACAGAAGCCACGAAACACTGCACATGGACAAACTGTTCCGGGGACTACAGGAGCCAGGGAGAAGAGGGTCAGAGGACACACACTGGATCCTCAGGACAGGTATTGATCACAGGTTTCCACCCTTGGGTGTGGGCTGTCTGGGGAGGCTGCCAAACCTGCAGATCCGGCAGGGAGCTCTCCTCACCCACCTGCCTATAGGGATGGAGAATGGTCTAAAAATGTCCCCATCCCTCCCTCTTGCATAGTGCTTACCCTTCTGCACCCCAATGATTAGCCCTCCCAACCTTCTCCCCAGTGACCACAGCTCCTCCATCCTTCCTGGTTCAGCTCTTTCCGATATGCTTCCCGATGTCCTCTCCTCAACATCCAGTCCAGATAGGGAGGACCGCACCCATCGTTCCTTGGCTGGACTGGGCAGTGGCTAACCTGGCTTTGTGGCCGGAGAGGTCTCCGACGTTCCGGTGATCACTCCGAGGGCTTGGTCATGCACGCGGGGTCGCGGATCACCCGCACGGGCTCTGCGGACCCAGAGTCCGGTCTCCTCCAGCAGCTGGGGACCGAAACTCAGAATCTCAGAAAGTCATGCAGACCAGGATGACGAAGTCGGAGACTCAGAACCGCGGAATCGCAGAATGAAGAGTTGGGCTACATTTAGACCTGAATAGATTGTTTGGAGAACTAAAATGGACACAGCGTGGAAGGGTTAAAAGAGGATTAAGATCTCTCAGGTTCTGAGGTCCCGAAATAGGGGTGCGGACCCCTCCGGGGAGGGGCGGGGCTCTGGGATTGGGTGCCAGGGACCCCGGAGCAATGCTCATGATAAGGGAGCGTGAGGAATGAGGATCCAGGACCTCAGGAGGAGCCCCTCTTCTCTGAATGCCCCCGGGCTAAATGCCCCGGACCCCACTTGGGACCCCAGCTCACCCAGGTATCCGGCTTCCACCATTCAGCACCAGGCGACTGCCCACAAAAAACATGGCAGTAAGGGCGTCGCTCAGAGGCAGGGCGGAGCCAGAAGTTATCGCGAGAGCCGCGCTTTCCTGTCTATATCCGGCGTGGTCCGAGGGCTTCCGGTCTCTGGTCTTTCGGCTTGGAGGAGGCAAAGGTGCAACTTTCTTCGGTCGTCCCGAATCCGGGTTCATCCGACACCGGCCACCTCCACCATGCCGCCCAAGTTCGACCCCAACGAGATCAAAGTCGGTGCGTGCCCTAGCTGCAGCCGGGGCTGCGGATGGAGCCCCCCTCCAGCCCGCTGCCCGTCTGGCCTTCGGCCCCCGCCACGTGCCTTCCCCTGCCGGCCTCTAGGGCCGTGCTTCCTAGGGGCCGTCGGGCGCTGGGCTGCTCTGCCGGGCCTCGTCCTTTTTGGGCCTCACTTGTAAATGGGGAGGGAGGAACGGACGACCCGGCGGCCTTGCAGCCCGCACGCCTTCGGGTAAGGCCTGTCCCCGGGCGGTGTCCATTCGACCGGTTCGCCGCGGCCGGGGCTCGGTTTTGCAGTCCAAGCCCGAGGGAGGGTCGGGTGCCTGCCCTCGCGCCCCCGCAGAGGCTCTAATCTGTACTCTCTCCCAGTGTACCTGAGGTGCACCGGTGGCGAGGTCGGCGCCACATCTGCCTTGGCCCCTAAGATCGGTCCCTTGGGTCTGGTAAGTCACCCCGCGCATGGCCGCTTGCTTATTTGAGAGTAGGGATAGGCTCAGACGTTCGGTCCTCGGCACCCCCGACTATCCTTAAGCTACTGATTTGGCACTGGTTAATAGCCCGCTTGTCACGTACTGGAGTTTGAAGTTAGGGGCTATACCTAGAGCCACTCCACCAGCCCTTTTTTGTGATAGGAATTTTTCCCAGATAGGGGCTCGCTAACTATTTAGGCTGGCTTCCAATTACGATTGCCCTGATTGCTGCCTCTTGAAAAGCTAGGATTATAGGTGTGAGCCACTGGCTGCACGTGTCCCTTAGCTGCAGCCTTTGGGTGCTAGGAGGTCAAGTTGTGAGAGCTCTGAAAGGGTGGAGGGGCATAGTGATGCCCAATGACAGGCTTAGGAATTTCAGGTGCCTGCTCTGAGATGAAAGCACAGGTAAACAGCAGAGGTCAGAAAGATTTTATTTGTAGAGAATTTACTGTATACCGGGGAATGCAGGGGGACCCGGAAACCGGTGATCTCGTGGGTCAGGATGGGGAGGGGGTTTTATAGCCTATTTTTGCATTGCCTGATGGTGGAGATGCCTTTCAGATGTGGAGGGCGTTTCCTTGACCTCCCTCGGTCTGTCCTTCAATAGTGACATTGGGCAGCCTGTTTAGCCGGTGTCCTGGTGGGGAAAGTGGGCCACACTCTGGGATCAAATGGGGTGTGGGTGGACTTCTGGTGAGTATAGGGGCTTGCATTTCCAAATATCATTAGGTCTTCAATTCTTGGACAGTGATAAGTTGTCCCAAGTGTGTTTTCCCTTTGGTCTTGCTATGCTGCCTTGGCCCTTAGCTGAGCTGGTACTTGAGCCTATTCTGTTTGGGCTGACAAAGGAGTTTTAAAATAGATAATACCAAGATCCCCACCTCACAGTTGGGCAAGACTCATTTCCCCATTTAATGCCAAGGTGAGTGTCTTGATTGGCTTGGTACACTAAGGTGCTTCTGTTACCTGCGTGCTGGATAAAGAAAGTTTGTGGTTTTGGCAAGTGACTAGAACTGGCAAGTTTTAAGACACGTTCAATTTAGGACTTTGGGCACCCTTGGTTATATAACTTTTGTTTCTGCAGTCTCCAAAAAAGGTTGGTGATGACATTGCCAAAGCAACTGGTGATTGGAAGGGTCTGAGGATTACAGTGAAACTGACCATTCAGAACAGACAGGCCCAGGTATTTGCTTGTGTTGGGTTTGTCTGTGGGAAGGCCTTGTCAGTGGTGTGGTCCTAGGGCAAAGACAAGGGTTCAGATATTCAGCCTTATCACTTTTTTTTGTGTATGTGGTTCTGGGGCTTCAACATGGTCTTCATTGAACCACTCCACCAGCCCTTTTTTTTTTTCTTCCCCGGGATAGAAATTGATCCTCCTGATCTATGCCTCTTGGGTAGCTAGGATTACAGTGTGAGGCACTGGTGCCCAGTGGGCAGAACACTTAACATCTTTCAGGCTAAGAATGGGTTTTAAGCATGTGCAGTAATCTTAACCTTTTGGCCCATGGTCTCTGAGGGCTTATATAGAAGTATTGGTCGTTGGAGGTAAGGGAGGGCAAATTCACATCAAGAATCTCTTGGCAGATTGAGGTTGTGCCTTCTGCCTCCGCCCTGATCATCAAAGCCCTCAAGGAGCCCCCAAGAGACAGGAAGAAACAGAAGAACAGTGAGTTGGCTTTTTGCTAGATTTGTTTTCCTGGTGGTTGGTTATTGATATTATATATCAAATGTTTGCTAAATGCCTGATTGTTTCCTGTTTAATGAAGCCTGGAGTGCATGTGAACTGGGTTGGGTAAAGGAAGTCTGTCAAAAAGTGCCATGTGGTGTTCTTAGTATCTGGGGGCAGGTCCTCAGGCATACAGAAAATCTGTAGAGCAACTGAGAACAGTGACTTGAAATCAGGACAGTTAAGGACTGCCTGACACTGAACCCTTAACTCCAGCACTTTAAACTTGTTTCTCATCCCTAAAACACCAATTTCAGGCTTGGGTTTGCCCTTAGCCACCCGCCACTGCACCTGACCAGTTCTGTTGGCTGGTGCAATCCAGTGGTGAGCTGATAGTAAACCCAGCTTTTAGGAAACAGGGTTATTCTTCATGTGGATGATTCTGTGCCGAAAGCATGGGAACAGCTGAGAAAGAAGTAATGGAGGGAATTGTGTTATTTTCTGGTCAGATTGTGTAAACTGCTGTTTTCTTTTCTGCAGTTAAACACAGCGGAAACATCACCTTTGATGAAATTGTCAACATTGCCCGACAGATGCGTCACCGATCATTAGCCAGAGAACTTTCTGGTAAGAGAAAGGAAATGTATAACCACCTTAACTAATTTGGGGTGTTTAACATTCTTGCCACTTGAAGGAAACAACAAGGTACGATGTTTTCTAGCTTCAAAAGAAGGGCTGGGTATCAAGAAACCCATGGAAGTGGACTCAGGGCTGAAGCAGCTGGATAGAGCATCTGGTATTAGATAGTAAGGGAGTGGGACTTCATTCCTCCGCTTGCCTGCTGTGAAACTTCCATGGTGTTCTTGGGTTTGTTTTTGTTTTTGTTTTTTTTGCTATACTGGGTTTTGAAACTTGGGGCCACTTGGTTAGGCAGGCACTTCACTTGAGCCATTCTGCCAGCTTTCAAAACCTGAGGGTTGTGGGGAACAGTGAGCCCTTCTGATGTCACCATGTAATTTTAGGAACAATTAAAGAGATCCTGGGCACTGCACAGTCTGTGGGCTGCAATGTCGATGGCCGTCACCCTCATGACATCATAGATGACATCAACAGTGGTGCAGTGGAATGCCCAGCTGTAAGTGACTTCACTTGGTTAAGAGGGGCAAGAGCTGGAGTAGGAGCAGCTAATGTGTTCCTGGAGATTAGTCAGTACTGGGGTGAGAGAATCACTGAACTCTCCTTTGCTGATAGAGCTTTTTTTCTTTCCCACAGAGTTAAGAAGTACAAAAGAAAATGTTTCAATAAATCATCTGGGCTTCTACCTTGAGGGAGCTGGTTCATTGTGGGTTGCTCAGTGGGGACCATGGTGGCGGAACCTGTAAAGTATGCTGGGTGACAAGCCTGGTGGGTAAGAGACTGTACTGTGTGGAACAAGCTCTGAAAAGACATGGAAAGGAAAGGTACTTTTGTAGGCATGTAAACATTCTGGGCCAGAAAGAAAACAGTTCAGCATGGACACACGGGAGAACAGCTCTCCAACCCAGACCTCTTCCATTCGTGGGTGGGTTGGGGGCCCAAGAACCAGAGGGTCTTTGCAAACCAGGCCTCAGAACCACAGGACAAAGAAACATGACAAGTCCTCAGTAGTTGTATGGCACCTATTGCTTACCTCTTTTCCTGATGGAGTAGTTAAACTAAGCAAGTAGAGCTTACTCTACCATGCTTCATCTAATCTTTGTTTTCCTTTTGACTCTGTGCTTATCCTCTCAGACACAGGCATTGAAACAGACTCCTCCTGGGCAGCTTGAAGCACTGCCTAAAAGGGACTCTTGGTACCATAAAAGGGAGTTGAAAATGGTTCCCCCATTTAATTGTGGAAACCTGTTAAATAGCATTAGCCCCCACATTGGGTTATAAGAGTGTGCCATATCACCTGTGTTTTGACTGCTTTAAACTTACTTGGCCCAGACTTCCCTTTCTCTGCATGCAAGGAGGAAATTAGTATTGCCAAAATACCTGGCCTTGACAGGTGTTCTTCACTTATTTTGAATAAACCAAGGCTTCTGGAGTACATGCCACAGAGATTGGGCTCAGTGAGGAAAAGACTGTAATGCAATTGGGAGTTCCATATGGATCCTTGATATTTACTGAAGATGCTAAACAGAAAGCTCTTAAGCTTCTACCTGAGCATGGGAAGTTGAGATTGAAGTATTTATTAAAGGTGCTTTTGCATGTGGCTGTCCTCTGGATTGTAAAGTTAGCTATTCCCAGATGCTCTGGGCCATCAGCAGTTACCAGATCTGACTTGAGGTGACCTGTCATGTCTGAGGCGTTCCACCAGTTACGTTCCAAGTTATTCTCCAGCATGGATTCTCTGGTGTCTAATGAAGGTAGAGCTACACCTGAAAGCCTTCCTGCACTCACTGCATCTGTAGGGCTTCTCTCCAGTGTGGATCCTCTGGTGCTGACGAAGGGACGAGCTCTGGTTAAATGCTTTTCCACACTCAACACACTCGTAGGGTTTTTCTCCAGTGTGAGTTATGTGATGTCGGATAAGGGCTGAGCTCTCACCGAATAATTTCCCACACTTGTTACATTTATGTGGCTTCTCCCCGCCATGGATCTTTTGGTGAATTACAAGATTGGTGCTTTGGCTGAAAGCCTTCCCACACTCAGTACACTGGTAGGGCTTCTCCCCTGTGTGTGTCCGCTGGTGGTTGGTGAGGTTTGCACTCTGGCTGAAGGCCTTCCCACACACAGTACACTTGTAAGGTTTTTCCCCAGTGTGGATCCTCTGGTGCTGAATGAAGGCTGCACAGTAGCTGAAGGCCTTGCCACACTCACTGCACTGGTAGGGCCTTTCTCCAGTGTGTGTCCGCTGGTGGCTGGTGAGGTTTGCACTGTGCCTAAAAGACTTGCCACAGTTGCTGCATTTGTAGGGCTTCTCCCCAGTGTGGATCCTCTGGTGCTGAACAAGGGCTGAACAGTCACTGAAGGCCTTCTCACACCCGCTGCACTTGTAGGGCTTTTCTCCTGTGTGTGTCCGCTGGTGTTTAGTGAGGTTTGCATTCTGGCTGAAGGCTCTCCCACACTCACTGCATTTGTAGGGTTTCTCTCCAGTGTGGATCCTCTGGTGCTGAATAAGTGAGGAGCTCTGGCTGAAGGCCTTCCCACGTGCATTGCATTCATAGGCCTTTTCCCCGGTGTGGTTCTTCTGGTGCTGAGAAAGGGAAGAGCAGTAGCTGAAGGCTTTGCCACACTCGCTGCACCTGTGAGGCTTAATCAGCTCTGAATTCTGGAAGTTTGTGGAGCACACTTCACGTTTCCAAGGCCTTGCTCCCATAGGCACTCTCCCTCGTGGAGAAAGGACTGGTCTCAGACTGAATCTCTGACCTTGTTCACTGTGCCTGTGCTCTAGCTCTCCATGGGGCATCTCTACCTGTGTGTCTTGCCACGATCCTTCAGGAAGGGTTGGCCCTGCTGGAGGTTCAATCACAGTTTTCCAGTCTGAAAAACAGAAAAGCACCTGGCTCTATAGTACTCCCTTGGAGGAACAAATAAAAGGCTGAAGGAGTCAGCTGGATTTGGTGACTACCCTTTTCACCCAGAACATTTCTGTTCCAAACCAAGAGAGGGAGTGGGTTCTGATCCTCCCCCAACCTAGATGTGTCTTTCCTTATCTGTGACAGTCCTGCTTTTGCCACCCATTGCCTTGTGATTGTATTTTGTTTGGGGCAATCTTACTAGTTATAAGTTGATTTAAGGAAACCAGTGTCAAGTAAAATGAGGTTCTTTGATCTACTAAATGTAGCAAATTTCAAGATACTTATTCTAGAGAGTTGGTTTACAAAGGATACTGTACAGTGGGTTTGCTCATTCACTGCAGTAAAGGTGGGAGCCTGAAAACTTAAGTGAGGTGAACCAGGTAGTGTGCCAGGTCAGCCAGCAAAGATAACTGTGTTACCATCAAGAGAATGGGTACTCTTCAGGGTCTAGTGATATCACACATGCCTCAATCCTCCCAGCCCTGAGACTTGTGAGGTAAGTGAGTTTTGCAGTTGGGCTTTGCTTGAGATCCTAGCCTTGCACTCCTTGCCAGCTGTGAGACTTTTGGCCAGTGAGCTAACCTCATCTTGATATCATTGCATAAATGGTGGTTCTTTTACAGTAATCAGATGTATTAATGTGTTTCAGAGGGATGCTTTCTCACATCTTTATCCTCCATAATCCGTGGGCCTTCCCTTAGTTCCAACTGGGAGTTTGTGCCAGGTTGAGAAACTGGAAGTCCTAATCAAGACAAAAGTCTCTAGGATTGTATTAAGGACAGTCACCTAGAACTTGAGAGAGCACAGGAAAAATGTTTGTTGGACCCTTACTCTTGGGTGAAGCAGAGTGAATCTGCCTACTGGACCACACAGACTTCCCACTAGGAACATAAAGAGAATAAATAGGATTTCTTTGGCCCACCACAACCCTCAGCACTGTTCACAGTGGGTTTTTAGGATTCTTAATCCTACCTCCCTTACCCAGCAGGACCAGGCTTCTGGGCTTTCCTTGAGTCCCCTCCTTAGGCCTGTCCTGCAGAGCAGGGAAGGCAGAGCTCCACCCATCCTGGGTAAAAGCCACAGTCATGCTGCTGAAGGGTGCAGAGTCCTGAAAAGACAAGCAAATGCCTTAAAATGCCTTTTAGGGTCTAGGGTAGGGATGACAGGGTGGTAATGTTAGTAGCTTAAGGAGAGCTAGAAAAGTCTGAGTGCTCAAGAAAAGCGTTTACTAATCGCTTTTTTATGTCTCTGACATGCACAAAAAGTTGAAACGCACTCTTCACATTAATCATTCCAACAGACTTAAATACAAACTGTAAAAGAAGCAGTTGGGCCAAAATAGGTGCCTGGGAGTTAAATGCAGAAAATTTACAATGTGTTCATAACAGTGAGTAATCAAGTAGAAATACCAAATGTGAAAGTTAAAATTTTGAGAACACTGACAGCCAAAAAAGCAGAAGAGCCAGTTTTATACAACTGAGTGTAGTATGTATCAAAGAGATAATAGGGGAGGAAGGACAGGGAGACCAAAGAAAAGCACCACCAAGCTGGTTTAGGAGGTTGGCAAGAGAGAATCACCAGGAGTAGAGTCTCGCAAGGGAGAGAGTACTTGTAATCTGGCAAATAGCAAGTAGTCCATATTCAGAATGCAAAGAACCTTCTAATATGAGCTCTGTGTGTGTGGGGGGGGGTTGATGTGAAATTTCAAGTGTCACTGAATACACTAGATGTACACCTACATGTGAAAATTGTGAGATCTGAGAATGAATCAAACAAACATGGGAAGAAGGGGCTTGTCAATGAGTTTTTGAGCCCACAGGTTTAAAGTGGAAGATAACGCATGTGTGGATTTTTCATACCAGTGGAGCTTAGGAGAGTTGTGGGTAGAAGATGAAAAGCTGTTTAGATCTCAAACCTCCAGCCAGCTACAATCCCGCAGGAGAACTGGGTTTCAGGCCAGCATGGGATCTATTTCAACAACAAAAACAGGTACCACCTCTGCAGTGTACCCTCTGCTAGAGACTTGGAGTGGGGTAACCAGGTAGAGAGGCGAGACTAGCAATTATCTTCTAGCCAGGTTACATATGAACATCTAACATGATAGTCAGAAAGCCCTGCTCTAACTTGCTATTGTCTGTTCCCAGACCAGGACTGAACTTCAGTTAAACCTAAAGGCCCAGTTGCTTTTTTCTTTCATGTAAAAGCTGAAGTATTAAAAATAAGTTTAAAATAGTTGAACTGCACTGGTATTTTGTGTTACGACATGCACTATACTCGAAACACAGGCTGCTGAATGGGCAAACCAATTCAAGGGGCTGGCGCAGTGCACACATCCCTGCTACTGCGGAGGCAGAGGTGAGAGGATCCCTCTGTAGCCTCAACAAGTTTGAGACCCTGCCTGAAAAAACTACAAGGGCTTGTAGCAAGCACAAGGCCCTGAATTCACTGTCTAGTACTACCAAGCAAAAAAACATCTAAGATCAATTTTGGGATATCTTTGAGAAAAAAAAGGCCCCAAATATTCAATGTAAATAAAGAATGAAAAAAGCTGTTTTCATCTCAAGAGATAAAGTGAATTTTAAAGCATAGAGTTGTTGAGGGACCTGAAGAGTCCGTTTTAAAAGTGAAAAGTCTTACCTAAACAAGTAAAGAATAAAGGGGAGCAGACAGTTGCTAATCTCACTAGAATATTCAAATGATTTTATGGAATGCCCTTTCTGAAATGGGAGAATGTTTATAAACTTCTACTTGGAAATAGGAAGGTTACAGAGTAGAACCAACCCACTTCAGGACAAAACAAAGGCCACACTCAAAATGTTACGGTGTAATACCTCTCGGCTTAAGGGGTGACTTGTTTTCTACATTTTCCAGGAGTCTGTAGTGAGTGTGGACTACTTTTATAATTGGGATAGGAAAACCTCAAACTATTAATATTAGAAAAAATAAAAAGGTGGTCTTATAGCGAGTCCGTTTCCAACTTACAGGAGGCCCAGCTGTAAGGAGACCAGTAGCCATTCCTTCCTCTCTGGTGCTTTGCTCTAGGGGAAGGGCAGCATCTGGAGAAGGCGGTGCTAGGGGAAGAAAAACAAAGCATGAAAGTCTGCAGCTAGTAGATGCCCCCACACACCCCGTAGGAGCATCCACAAAAAGGGCTTCAAAGGTACCAGGGCACTTGAACTGAATTGGCAGTGGGATGTAAATTTTCCCATTCCCTCTGATGTCAGATCTATCAACTCATTCAGATGTAGGGATGTATTAAAGTGTAACAGTTCCAAGTATCTAAGAGCCACCACCCAGCAGTGTGCAAGTCACATAACCTCTCTAGCTCATTTTTCTCACCTGTTATATACAGGTGAATGCTGATAATGCCTAGCATGTACGTGTACAGGTTATAAATGCTACCTACTAATTTTTTGGAGAAAGCAATTCTGCAAATGTAAGACATTTAGGATTCATCCCAGGAATGTGAAGTTGGCTCAACATACTAAAATCTCATTAGCACACTACTGTATGGATGAGAGCAAAGAAAAGAACCTAACATGATTGTCTTACTGGGCAATCAACACTTTTTCATGATAAAAAAAGCTGGGTGTGGTGGATCACACCTGTAATTCTTGCTACTCAGGAGATGGAGATTGGGAGGACTGCAGTTTGAGATCAGCAAAAGTATTGAGACCCCATCAATAAAAGCTGGGCCAGGTAGAAGTGTAAATAAGGATCACAGTCCAGGGTAGCCCTGGCATAAATGCAAGACCCTATATGAGAGAAAACGCTAAACTAGAAGTAGGAAATTTCAACTTGATAATGAGATGTTGCATTAACTGAAGGGGGCGCTGTTTCTCACGTTCTCTCTTGCTTCTTAGTTATTACTGGACTTTAAGATAAAGACATTAAGATCTGAAAGTTTAAAACCTTGCTTTTAAACTTTCCTTAGGCTCTCACTGTCCCATGTTTGCTCTTAGCTTATCTTGAGTTTAATTGCCCCCAGGCTTGCACTGTCCCATCTCTCTAGCTTTTTTTTAAAGCCTTGGTGCTCAAACAGCCGCGCCTATAACCCACATATGCTTAATTCTTAAAGTCTTGGTCCTTAGACTCGCATTGTGCCCTGTCTCATGTTCTCTTTGGCTTTAGCTGTCCTAAGGCCGATGTAGGAAGTTCTTTCTCAGCTTTGCTTTCTGAAGCCTATGTTAAAGTTCTCAGTGCAGACTTTGTCAACCCCTCTTTAGCATTTTCCCTTCAATAATTATTTTCCTTTCCAAAGGCTTCCCACACCAAAAGCAAAAGCCCCTCTTCCTCCTTCAGGGGTCTTTTATAGCGGCAAACAGGATGGAGCCATGGGAAGGGGCGTGGCATTGTAACAGGAGAAACCTGTGTTCCTGCTTCTCTGAAGGAAGCTCTGGAGACACAGCTGTTCTGCCTGTCCCTGTTTTGTGGGCCAAGGTCTGTGCCTGTCTTGGCCTACAGGTAAAAGCAATTAACTGTATTTCGCCTTGCTTGTGTCCAGTTCTTATAGGCTTAGTCTGCTCCCCACAGTTAACCTTATACTTAATGGTGAAGGTTGAAAGCTTTTCCTCTCTTAAGATCAAGAATAAGACAAGATTTATGTTCCTACCACATCTATTCAGTATTATGCTGGAGATTCTAGCTAGGCAATTAAACAAAAAGATAAAGACATTAAGATCTGAAAGGAAAAAATAAAACTATTTACAGATGACATGATTTTGTATCTGAAAATCTGAAATAACCCATGAAAAACTATTACAGCTAGTAAGCCTACCAAGATTACAGGATGTAAGATGAACTCCTAAAAATCAGTTCTATTTCTATAATACTGATGAACAACCCCAAAATAAAACAATTCAATTTTATAAATAGCATCAAAACTAGGAATAAGCTTGACAAAGGCATTAGGGTTTATATACTGAAAACTATAAAACATCATTGGAACAAACAGAAGATCTAAATGAAAAGAAAAACCGTGCTCACAGCTGGGAAGTTTTGTTGTTAGGCACTCTAGCACTTAAGCTATGCTCCCAGCAAGATCTTGTATTGCTGAGATGGAAATAATGTCTAAATTAATCTTTAGACTCTACAATTCCTATCAAAATGCCAGTGGCATTTTTACAGAAATCATCAAGCTGATTGTAAAATTAACCTGGATATGGGACTACAGGACAGGACCAAATAATCTTGAAGAAAAAAGCTGGAGGATTCACTTGTCACATCAAAACTTCCTACAAAATCAGTCTTAAAAACAGTATGGTACTGGCATAAGGATATACAGAGATCACTGGGATAGAATTGAGACTCTAGAAATAAGTGCCTATATGGGCAATTAATTTTGACAAGGGTTCCAATAAATTAAATGGGGAAGGAATTGTTATTTTAAAAAAATGATCCTGGGGCACCTGGAGACCCACATGTAACAAAAACAAAGACCCCTACCTCACACCACGTACAAGAATTAACTGAAAATATATTGAAGAGCTAAAACTCCTAGAAGAAAATAGGAATAAAATCTCCGTAAACTCAGATTAGGCAATGGTATGACACCAAAAGCACAAGCAGCAAGGGAAAACTAGGTAAGTTGGACTTCCACCAAAATTAAAAATTTTGTACTTCAAAGGACATGATCAAGAAAGTAATAGAAAAACCACAAAGTGAGAAAATATTTGCAAACATTTTTTTATTGTGAATTTAGCTTTTATTCAAAATTAAAAGCAAAAAATTTAAACTTAAAAGTTACATAAAAGAAAGTTACTAGAGACAGTCACAAGTTTCAACACATAATTACAAAGTGTTCAGGGCAGCATGAAACCATGACACAGCATGGTGACCTGTGCACCTGCCCTCAAACTCCTGCATTCCAGGCATCGCTGCGGCTTCAAGAAAGGTTGGGAGGACAAGAAATCATGGAGCTCCTGGGTACGCCCCGTTTTCCTTCCCAGGAACCCCTACCCCTACTCACTAAAGGTTTTGATCTATCAGGCATTGGGATAAGAGGCAGAGACTATCGAGGCCTGCATTTTTCTAGTCCCCGAATTCTTAAACAGGATTGTCCCCAACCACATGAGGAAAAGACAAGTGGAGTTGTATTTGGGGCAACGCAGCAGCATCAGTGGGTGAACTAGAACAAGAAGCTGGATCTCCCGCAAACCGTCTACCTTTCTCACCTCCTTCCTCCAGCATGCGGGTACCACTTCGCGCCACCGACTCCCAGCGGTTCCCCGGACGTCGCGTCGCTGCCCGGCTGCGTCAACTCTAGAGGCCTGTCCCGAGCCTGCAGAACTCGGGCAAGAAAGCCACTGCTGGCTTCCAAGATAACGACAGGTGACCGGTAACCGGCCACCTGCCACCGACGAACGGAAAACAGACAAGCTCGCTGCAAAATGCGAAACCCCTACTCTACAGCCAGGGGGGGGGGGGGGGCTGCTCCTGACAACGGCACTTCCGGTCATGCGCACTTGCTCCGGCCGTTGGACTCCATTTCCCAGGAGTCTCCGCGGGTCTGGTTCTTGGCCAAAGCCTTTTTCTCCAGCCGCTCAGGTTTGTAGTCTGCACTGTTTTCTGGGCCGTATTTCTCAGAGGGATCTCCGCTTGTTCTTCCCCCAGAATCCATTTTCCATAATTATGTAGACGGGGTTCCCCCACAAGTAAACAGGTTGACAAAATGACGGCCATGAAAACAAGATGGCTGCGCCTCATCTTTCAAATTACGACGCATACGCATTCAAGTACATTACGTAACCCAGTTACGTAACCGTGATATCATACCTGGCAATAGGTCTCCACTGTGCGCATGGTCATAGAAAGAGGGAGGCCTGCACCAGAGCAGTGCAGTGTGGACGGATCAGCTCTTACGTCACACTTGCCCTCCGCGCCGCACCCTGCCGTCCATGGCCGCGGAACTCCGACCCAAGGTTTGGCGTCACAGGCAGGGTATTAGGGTGAGGGTCCCCGGTGCCCCGCCGGAGGACCCGTGGCCACCCGGGGCTGCGGCGTGGACGTCGGGCGGCCCCTGAGGAATGGGGCAGGAAGACGCGAGCCGCCGAGGGACGAATGGCGGAAGACCAGCGGCCGAGGGCGGCGAGACGAGGACGCCTCTGCCGGGGAGGCGCGGGCGCGGGAGCGGCTGGAAGCGCGGGGCCGAGCGCGGCGGCGGGAGGACCGGGAGCCGGGGACGCGCAGCTCGCGGGGAAACGCCTGGCGCTTGACCCCGATGGCCCCCGGGGGAGGGCACCAGGGTCCCCTCGGTGGCGGAGTCGGAGTCCGCCGCACACCCCGCACACCGCTCCCGAGCTGCGGTTGTTAGCCAGGTGAAGCCGTCCCCGCCTGGCCCTGCGCCTTTGGGACGCAGGGGGACAGCCCACAGCCATCCCCGTGCCAGATGGAGAAACTGGCCTCCATAACCCTACGTCCCTCGAAAAGAACGCAGGATGCTACGACGGCGGCGTGGAGCTAAGACAAGGGAAGACGAGGAAGAACGGAGTTAAGTTCAAAGACAGCCCTCACAGCCTCCTAACGGAATCACCAGGGCCCAGCGGCCATCTGTGGCGACAGACAGATCAGGGCGACAACTCCACACATGGGGGCGCCTAGAACGGAGCTCCGCGTACACCACACCCAGCACAAGAGAACCACAGCACCGAACCGAGCGGATTCCACACTCGGAGGCAAGGATTTCAACCCTGCTTCAGTGAGTGCTGTACCAAGTGGCGGGAAGGAACTTGGAACTTAGAAAGTGTGATGGTTATGTCTCAACAGAGCCACAGGGTGTCCAGATATTGGTTAAATAGTATCTTGGGTTTTTCTGTGAGGATGTTTTTGGATGACCCTAACATTTAGATTGTAGGCTGAGTGAAGTAGAGTGCCCCACTATGTGGGTGGGCCTCATCCAATCAGTTGAAGGCCAGTATAGAACAAAATGGCTGGCCATCCTGTAAGGAAGGGGAAAGCTTGGAATACTATCTTATCCTGCTTATCAAAGTCACCTGAGTCTCCAGCTGGCCTTCAGGCTGGAATTCCACCATCAGCCCTTCTGGGTCTCCAGCTTGCTGACACACTCTAGACTTCAGGACTTGTCAGTCACCACAATCACACAGCCGACTGAGTCTTTATAACACATCTCTGCACTTACCTTCTGCCTAATACCACAGTTAGACAACTGACCTGACATTCACAAAACACGTCACCACACAACAGGAGGTGCGCACCGCACAGACTCTTCACAAAACACAACACTGTTCTGGGTCATAATATGTCTTGATGCACTGAAAGGATCAAAGTGATTTTAAAACATGATTGGGAAAACAAAACATCTTGTAGATGATCCAAAAGATAAAATTCCACAGCTGGGCCCTGGCGGCTCGTGCCTGTAATCCTAGGTACTCAGAAGGTAGAGATCAGGAGGATTGTGGTTCGAGGCCAGCCTGGGCAAAAACCGAGACCCTATCTCGAAAGTATCCAAACACACACATGCACACAAAGGGCTGGTGGAGTGGCTCAAGCTTACAGTGCCTCGCTAGAAAGTGTGAGGCCCTGAGTTCAAACCCCAGTACCAACAGCAACAAAATTCCAGAACACAGACTTAAAAGATAGACTGAGTGAAAACTGAGAGGTTACCATTCCAGGAAGTACAGTGTCCACCAGCAGTTCCAGGAAGAGGACAGAAAAGTCAGGGCTAGACTGTCAGAATAAGTTTCCAGAAGAAAGCACGGCCATTCAGAATTTCACCACGGCCATTCAGAACTTCACAGAAATGGAAAAAGAAAGATTACATTCATTCTTAGGAAATTTTAAATTGCCAAGGTTACCACAGCTCCTAAAGGAGAAAACTGGTTTACCCGTGAAATAGCGGGCAGCATGGTTTCCATTACCACAAGTGTTACAAAGCCACCTGGAGGGCCAGGTGTGGCTCAGGAAGCCCGCGGTCTCCTGCACGCACTGTTTGACAATGACACTCAAGGGCTCGGAATGGCAGCCTCAGGGACATGTATCCCAGGAAATGAAAACGGAATCCGAGCACCAGTGGAATGAATGTAGGGTTCACTGAACTCAGGTAACAGCTTTGCAGCAGCGCCCAAAGGACGGATTCCACGTCACACGGGGCAGAGACGTCACAGATGGTGGCTGTGTTCTTTATTAATTTTTTTATTAGGAAATACTCATACGGTGGGGGATTCATCGTGACAAGTCCGATTAGGTTTATGGTGTACATCATTTGCATCACACCCTGTCATCTCTCAACATGTTTTGTGAGGTCAAAACAAGGCAATTAAAAGCTTTAGGAAAAAAATCCAATGTCTTCCTTTGGGCAAACCCAAATCCGGCATTATTTTGAACGCGTGATATAAACGGCTGTCAGGAGAGATCTTTTGAGATGGAATGATGATCTTAAGCTATCTCTGGAGAAGGCAGCTGTGACTATTTTATCACTTAGCCAAATAAATGAGTTAATATTTGTAAAGTGCCTAAGACAGTGCTTGACAGATGGTTAACTGCTCCAAAAATAATGTTTTTAGATTTTTTGCAATATGTACTCCTTTGATAATGAATAATGAAAGTAATTTGTAAAATACTTCTGATTCCACTAAAGTCAAATAGAAAAAGGCTTTTTATTCTGGAAACTTAAGGAATTTGAGCCCAAGAAAGGAGCCAGACATGGCCTCCAAGTGCCGAGGGTCAGCGTGGCTGATGTGGAGGTGAACTCACAGGCAGGATGCAGGAGGGCCAGGTTTACGGAAGCAAAGGGAACACCCCCTTCTCAAGCTGGGCACACAGACAGCATGACCTGATTTCTGAGTGAAATCTTTTATTTGGCAAAGTTCCTTCCTAATGATGCAGACACGTGAGCAAACAAGCAGGTGTCCAGGACCTGGCCTCCAAAAGCACCTCCAGTCAGAAATTGGGAGCCAAGAGGCCTCAACTGTCTTCACCTGCTTGAGTGTCGTGACGATGTGCCCAGGGCTGCACAGGATGGCAGAGCTCCTCTGAGCAGTTCGGCGGGTGCAGGCAGCAGCAGACATGGGACCCAGACCTGGTGAACCTCCCAGCCTGGGTGACTGGACAGGAAGAGGCCCTGAGGCCCAGGCCCAAAGGGTTGTGGTCCTGGGTTCCAGTTCTCCCTGGGCCTGGGGCAGTCAGGGGCTCCAGGCTAAAGCTGAGGCCCAGTTAAGAGTCACAGGCAAGGCCAGCCCAGCTCAGGGGTCACCACACACAGAAAGGCTGTCATCACCCCTCAAAATGGGCTGTGATTTGTTCCAGAGTCTTTCCTTTGGTTTCAGGGACACAGAACAAAGTGAAAAGGACACTGATGATACAGAAGGCAGAAGCGAGCCAGAAGGCTCCATAGGGCCTGAGGACCTCCTGCAGAGAGAGGAAAGGCCACATGTAGGTGTGGCCAAAGGTCAGGAGGCCCCATACAACCTGAGCAGCACCCCCCTTTGACCTGCCCTGTGGATGCCAGGCCTATTATGTTCCCACCCAGTTCAGTGAGGACTGTCTAGCACCTATCCCACTGCCTGGGCTGAGCACCACCCACTGACTGATCCACGGGTAGAGAAACAGGCTCATGGCCCTAAGGCCAGAGGCACACGACCAAGTGACAGCAGGGTTTTTGTTTTTTTGGGTTTTTTTGCAGTATTGGAGCTTGAACTCAGGACCTACACCTTGGGCCACTCCACTGGCTCCTTTTCGTGAAGGATATTTTTGAGATAGGGTCTCAAAGTATTTGCCTGGGCTGGCTTCGAACCGTGATCCTCTTAATCTCTGCCTCCTGAGGAACTAAGATTGCAAGCAGGAGCCAACACGCCCTGCTGAGAGTAGGGCGCCTCAGGCTTGCATTCAACGCCACCCCTCATCAAGTTCCTGATCCAGCAGGTTCTCTTTATAGTGGCAGGTGGGGGATGGGCACTGTAAGCCACCAGTCGGGGCCACTGGCATGGAGGGAGGGTTGAGCGGCCCCTTTAGAGTCTGTGACCGTCTGAGTTTCAGAGCACAGGCCTTTCACTTCTCAGCTCCCTGTCCTCGGGTTGCTATTTGGTCCTTTTGTGACCTCCTTCTGGGCTTCTTTCACCCCATCCCTTGCTGTCCACCTCTCCCACTTTCACCAGGCCTGGCCCTGGCCTTCCTGTGTGTTCTCTAAGCAGTCATGCCTGAGCGGGTCCCAGGCCAGCCAAGTGTCCATGCCACCCACCAACCTGCCTCTTGCCACAAAGCAGACCATATCCAGTTCAGTCTCTGGCACCTCAAACAGGCCTGGCCTGGTACATCCCACTGTGGAGGGAACGAATGACTAAACACGTCTTGATTATCTGCTTCAGAGCCTCTCTGATGGCTGGGAGCTGCACGGTGGGGACCACATGTATCAGTCCGGCATGAGATGGCAGCAAAATGGGGGGCTCCCATCAACCTTAAGAGGAAAGTATTGCTACTTTCTATTTTTAGTCAATGAAGCTGGTTCAGAGAGGGTAAGTGTTACACCCAAGATCACACAGCAAGGAAGCCGCCAGTGTGAGACTGGAGCCTGGGCCTGTTGACTCTTACACAAACCATGGGCTCCTGGCCAGCATTCCCGACATTCATTAGTGGGGAAGTCAGGCATGCTGTTCTCCCAGTGAGACAGATTTGGGTTCTTCACCTCACCCTTGACCAAGATGATGGCACCCCAGGCATAGCAGGACCTTGGCCTATATCAAGGCTATGGACCCAGAGTCTTTTGAAACGAAACTAATTTTATAGCTAAAGTAATTTTACAAAGTGCTCCTCTACCAGCTGTTCAAGGGGGACCCACGGGCCTGTACTCACCATGAGACTGCTGAACTCTTTTGTCACCAGGAAGGCCATAAGCCAGTTGGTGAGGACACAGACACCAGTGGCCACACCCTTGACATGCAGAGGAAAGATCTCAGACATGAGCAGCCAGGGGATGGGCCCCCAGCCCACGGCGAAACCTGTGGAAGCAAGGCAGCTTCAGAGTCCACGGGGGCGGGGCTCCTGGGCTAACTGTGAGCCAGGGTGACCCAGCTTCCAGCCTGTGGGCTGAGGGGTGTTGGATTTCTGCCAGATCTTTTCTTCCTGCTATAAGGCCTTGGGCCAGTCTCTGTAAAGTGAATAAGGACGGGGCTGGCTTGTAGGTTGTTGTGGGGATGAAGAAAAAGGGACAAGCAGAGGCTTAGCTTGGTGCCCAGCATGAGGTTAGAGCTATGCACACAGAGGTCGGGCTCTGGGAGAGGGGTGAGGCTCGGTAAGACCAGACTCACTGGAAGCTACAGGCAGCTGGAATGGGCCGATAGGAACGGGGGCCCCGACCCAGCTTCCCCCGGGCCCTCCTCTCACCAGCAATGAAGAGGCACATGCTGCCCACGGCCAACCAGGCCAGCCCCACACTGCCATTGACAGGCTCCACAGAGACAGGCACCAAGAGGTCCACGTGGGAGGAGTTGCCCGTGCCACCCTGGGTCAGCTTGAAGTAGGTGCCGAAGGCGCTTGTGCTGAACACCATGACCACACCTGCAGGCAGGGGGTGGGGGAAATTTCCCAGGGGGCTGAGTAACCGCTGAGAGGAAGGCGGGGCTCTCTGGGAGCAGCCAGTGGGTATTCTGGCACCTTGGCCCCGGGAGCCCTGCTTGATAGTACCTTACCATCTGACCTTGGGACCTCAGACCTCAGCAAGTGCTGAGAAGTTCCCAGAAAGACCCTCCCTGCCTGCGGGCACATGAGCAATGACGGACAGTGGTCTTCACAGTGTCAGCGGGCACCAAGTGTGTGGCTGAGTCCAGAACCTCCCTTGTGCAGATCAGTCGTCCTGATTCGCCCAGACGCCCTGAGGAAAGTTCTGCTGTCTTCCCCTTCCATAGAGTGGGAGACGGAGGCTCAGGGAAAACCACTTGCTCTAAAGGACCGCAAGCTTCAGAGTCACACCACCTCCCTGGCTCTCAGTTTCCCTGTGTGAGCTGGGCCTTCTTGCAGACTCACTGGAGAACGATAGCTTAGTAAAGAGCTGCTGCTAAGTCACAGCCTCAATAGCTGCGAGCTTTGGCCTCATCAGTGCTCAGCTGTCCTCCTTTGCAGCCTGGTGGCCTTGGAAAAGCCTTAGTCTGGAGCACCCTATATGCACAGGGCTGACTCTTCACCACCAGGCCTCACCTGACAAGGTTAGAAGCAGCCTCCGTCCTGCTCTGTCCATGATGAGGGCCGCAACAGCTGTGAACAGAACCTGGATGATGCCCACGGTGACTGAGGCCAGGCTGCTGTCCTAGGGGAGGGGGTAGAGGAGGGCTGGTGAGCAGGCCAGCCACAGATGGAGCCCTCTTGGTCGTCTGGATGAAGCAGGCTTCTTACCTTGAACTTGGCCGCCTCAAAGATGGTCTCTGCATAGAACATGATGGCATTGACCCCTGACAGCTGCTGGAAGGCCATGAGTGAAATGCCGATGACAAAGGGCTTGTAGATGCCAGGGTGCCTCAGCAGGGCCAGCTGGAAGCCCTGCTTGATGGAGACTGGCCATCAGTGCTTCTCTCCACCCTGTTCCAAGGGCCCCCTCTTTGAGTCCACTGTCCTAGGCTCAGTGGAGGGGAGCAAGCCTCAGTTCCTGTTCCAGCCTCAACTGTAGCCTAGAGTGTGCAAGCAAGCCCCTGCAGCCCTGGGCCTCCCAATTTGTGAGTAAGACCAGCCTTACCTCCCCATGGCTCTTTCTGAATGGTTGGGGAAGCCACAAAGAGATTCCAGGACTTGGGCAAAGAACAGTTTGTTCCCCGAGTCCCAGCCACCTTCACTGCACTTGGTGCTCACCTTGGGCCTGGCAGTGGCTGAGTGCCCTCCTGAGGATTCACTCAGCACCACTACAAAGCACCTGCCAGGACTCCCATTTTACAGATGAAGAAACTAAGGCTCAAATATAGGAGGGTCACACCTCTGGGAAGTGGCCGAGTTTGTCTCTAAACCCCACTCTGACCCGTCTCCCCTGCCATATAACTCCCGGTTCAGTCCGAGACCTTAGCTCTGCATCTGTATTTCCCCTTCTCAGGCTTGGTCTTTCTGTTCTTGGGACAGTAGGAATCAAGAGGAGGCTAGGACTCAGCTGAGTGGGGCCCTAGTGTCCCCCACTTGCTCAGACACAGGACAGCACTGGTTCTTGCTGAGGGCGGAGGGTGCCACCCCCAGGTGTGTGGCCTTGGGAACAGACTATGCTATCTGCCTGATTGTCTCCCCCCAGCTCCGGCTCCCGCCTCTCACCTGGTGCTCGGCCCCGATGGGGGGCTCTTCCCAGCCCTGTTCAGAGCCCCACAGGAACTGCAGGGCGGCCATGGCCTCCTGGCGCTTGTGCTGAGTGAGGAGGAAGCGGGGGGTCTCGGGCATGCAACACATGAGCAGCAGCATGAGGGAGGGGGGCCCACAGCCCAGCACGGCCAGCCAGCGCCACTCCAGGACCCAGCCTGGGGGGACAGAGCCAGGGTGAGCCACCCCCAGGGACTCAGCTTCAGAGGCGGGGACCTCGCCACCTCTGCTTAGCTGTCTGCACATTTGTTAATGACACTGTCATCACTATTACTGTTCATGACACAGACATCACGGGCCAGCTACTGCCGCGTGGGACATCGACACACGCATCCCATCTATGCGGTAAAATAGACCAGTGCCACCCAATGACGTTTCGGACGGTGATGGGACTGCACAAGACGAATCTCTTAACATAACGGAACTGAAAAATTCCCGTCACCTAGCAATGCGTCGTAGCCGTGCTAAGGTACTGCGGTGTGTTGCGTGTTTGTGGTGCTGGTGTAAACTAACTGCTGCACTGCCAGTGCCAACTACAAAGTACACAATACCTAATAGATGACTCTTACTAGCTGGGCGCTGGTGGCTCACACCTATAATCCTAGCTACTTGAGAGGCTGAGATTGGGAGATTCGTGGTTTGAGGCTAGCCTGGGCAAATAGTTCATGAGACCCCATCTCCAAAATATCCAGAGCAAAAGGGACTGGAGGTGTGGCTCAAGTAGAAAAGTGCCTGCTTTGCAAAGTGCCAAGTCCTGAGTTCAAACCCCAGTCCCACAAAAAAAAAAAAAATGACTCCTGATATATGTATGTGTTGTAATTTTTTTTTTTTATCATTTTGCAGTGTACCCCTACTTGCAAAAAAAAAAAAAAAAAAAAAGGATTCTGTGGGTCTGCCATATTAACGCAATGCTGTCAGCAGTCTCATACAGCTTGTGGATGCCCAGGGCCCCTCGAGCTCTGCCCCCAGCTCTTTTGTTTTTGAGATAGGATCTCGATGACTTTGCCCAGGTTGACCTCAGACTCTAGATTCTCATCTCAGCTGCCTGAGCAGGTGGGATTGCAGACGTGTACAACCATGCCCAGCTTTACCATGTCTCTTGATTGTCCGGTGATTAACCCTGACCTTCTAGGTTTCTGGAAGTATACTCTGATATGTTCACACAATGACAAAACTGCCTAATGCTGCAGTCCTCAGAACTTGTCCTTGTTGAGCAACTGGTGACTGTAAATACCCTTGAGACAATGAGGAGCTGGCTCCATATTGCCACGGAGCCACGTGGCACTGTTTGTGTGGAGTCAGAAGTGGGAGAGAAGACGCACATTCCTCAGGCACAACTTCTCTGGGGGCCACCACGCAGCAGGCCTGGCTGCTCCTCCAGTGAGAAACAGGGACAGTCGGGAGACCTTCTGGTGGGCATGCTCTCCAGTCACCACTGCCTGAGGGTTCAGTCACTTAACTGATTGTCACAGTATAAATGAAATTAAAGGGGTGGTGGGATTTGGAAGACACAGGAAGAATGTAAGCACAAAACCAAAGAGTTTTCTAACAAAGGGACCCAGGAAGTAGTGAGTTTAGGGCACTAATTTTTAATTTTCCTACCCTCAGTTCCCTGTGGAAAACAGCTCAGTCGTAGCCATGGTTTTGTTTTATGCTGGGGTGGTGGTGTCCATACTTGCTATCACAATAAGGTGTAGATGAGTCACAGCTGCTCTATAACAGCTAGTTATTGAGGCACCACTGCCCCCAAGTGAAGCAAAGGTGTTGCCATGCCACTGTGGGGTAACAGCTAACACACTTCTGGACCAACTTCAGACAGCCATCAGTAAAAGAGGCAGTAGAAGCACTGGGTGCAGATGAGAAGCACTGGGGGTGCTGCAGTGATGCACACGGGATACCTGTTCCCCAGACTAAGAAGGGCAAAGTCTGCGCACAGTGGGGACTCTGGCTCACTGCAGGGTTCCTGCTGGCAAGATTCTGAATTGAAGGTTGGGGGCATAGCTCAAGTGGCAAAGCACTTGCTTAGCATTCACAAGGCCCTGGGTTTGATCCCCAGCACCGCAAAAAAACAAAACAAAACAAAACAAAAAACAGCTGAGGTGGTGGCCTCGTGTCTGTAATCCCCAGCAGGATGGAGAATTTGAGGTCAAAAAATAAGAAAAATAAAGAACTTGAGGTCAGCCTGGGATACATAGTAAGACCCTGTCTCAAAAAAAAAAAAATTCTGAATTGATCAGGGTGATAAGTGGGTTAAAAAAATAAAGAAAGAGAGCTGAGAATGTGGCTCAGTAGTAGAGCACTTGCCTAACATGCACCAGTACCTCAGGTTCGATCCCCAGCACCACAAAAAATAAAAATAAAATAATTCTTTAAAAAAATAAAGACTAAGGACCCATGTGTCATTCAATTCTCATTTGGGACCTGCTGTCAGGAACTTTTCGTGTACCATTTAATCTGTTCCCTAAGAGCTTGGCCCAGGTGGGGTTATCTTCATTTAAAGGTAGGAAACAGGCTCCCAGGGACAGTGAGACTTGGCCAAGGTCACACTGCTGGTAGCAGGACTGTCAGGTTGACACTTGCCCTCTTTCCAGTCATTTCTAATAAGAACATGTCTTTGAAGCTTCCCTAGGCTGTCCGAGCTGCCCCCAGGGTCCCAGGGAACTGGCTCCTTTATGTAGCACTTCACTGGCACTGTGAATCCACTGTGGACATGCTTGGCCCCTGGAGCTCCTGGGCTGACCATTTCTAAAGTGCTCCTCCCTTCCCCCACACCAGAATCCTCTAATGTCCCTGCACAGTAAGGGACTGACCTAACCAGTGGACCCTCCCCACACTACTGCAGTGGGCATCTGAGAAGGACCACCTTCTGCAGCTCTCCTCAGAACCCAGTCACGAGTCCTACATATCCCAAGGTCCCAGGGGGATAGTCTGGAACCTGGCAACTTGGCCATCAGCTGTGTGATCTCAGGCAAGCTCCTGCCCTCTGAACCTCAGTTTCCACATCTACAAATTGGTCACATGGCCAATAACAGGGATCAAAAGACATCACACAAACTATACCTGCCAGGTAGGCCAGGAGGATGCCAATGACGACCATCAGCTGCACACAGGAGCCAAGCAGACCCCGGACTGCTGGGTAGGCGATCTCTGAGATGTATACCTGTCAATAATTAACACAGGTCTTTACTTGGGGTCCATGTGTTCTTAAAAACTGAAAGGCCTCATCCGTTCTGAGCTAAGGGGAGCCACACTGGTGCTGCAGGCCCATCAGCCCCTAACTGCAGCACCTCAAATCAGCAGAGCCCTCCCCAGGCTCCCCCAGCAGGCGATATGCAGCAGGTATTTCAGGGTTACGGCGTGGCTGCTGTGTATGAGGGGCAGGTGAGGACGCAGCCTCTCAGACACTCGCTCAATGCACACAAACACGGGGTAAGACTCAGACTCTCAGGCAGTAGGTCTGGAGTGGGGCCAACTTTCTGCCCTGCTGACCAGGTCCAGGGGCCTTGTAGGGTGCTGATGGTACTCAGCTGTGAAACACAGGAACTCCCCACCTCAACCACTACCAGGGGCAAAGCTCCCACCACTCCCAACCTCTGAGACCAGGGGCCACCAGGGGGTCACCTGCACTTACAGGTTATTCAATATGTCATGCTCATGACTGAGACAGTGTTTCTACCCAGTAAAAAAAACAAGGAAAAACAAAACAAAACAAAATCTACCAGCCTCCCTGTCGGCCAGTGTTGCCTGCATATGCAGAGTGAGTGAGCGGTGCGAGGGGTGCCCAGGGAGGGTTCAGAGACGATTCTTTCAACCTCCAGGGAGGAGGGGGTGGGTGGTCCTCCAAGCATGGGGCCACAGGAGCTGGCCGGTCACCTAGCAATCTTAGCTGCCAAGGTCCAAGTCCTTCCACAGAGGATGCCAGGGCCAGGGGCTTCCCCAGCAGTCTCCCCCAACCCTCACACCCACCTCCTGAGTAACGCCACAAGCGCCATTTTTACAGAGGAAGAAAGTGAGATGGGCTGTGGCCAGTAAGTGACCCTGCTGTGTGGTCTGCAAAGTGACTGAGTCAGGAGAAGGTCAGGAACTGGCTGTGACCACAGAAGCCAGCAGTCTTGGCCCCAGGGACAAACGAGAACAGGATTTTCCTGCTAAGTAGAGGTGGTCAGTGACCTGAAGATAGGGGGATTTAAGCAATAGCAAGAGGCGCTGCTGACCAACAGGTGCCATCATTTTGCAGCGCAAAAGAGGCACAGCCGAGCCTCCTGGGAGGCTCAGTTTCATCTGAAAAACGGAGGTGATAACAGACTCCTTCCCAGGGCGTGGCGAGGGCTGGGGAGATGACGTCTTATCATGGAGGCTCCAGCCGGGGGAGACACTCACCGGGGCCACCAAGGAGGCGACGCCGCAGGCCAGGCCGGTGAGGAGGCGGCCCCCGAGCACCATCCACACGTCCTGCGCCGCGGCGATGACCGCAAAGCCGACCACGAAGGGCACGGCGCAGAGCAGGAGGCTCAGCTTGCGGCCCGCGCGGTCCACGAGCCAGCCGCCCAGCACGCCCCCCGCCGCGGCGCCCAGGGTCACGATGGCCTGGGGGCGGGGCGGCCGCGGGCTGAGTGCGGGGCGCCCGTGCTCGCCCCCCGCCCCGCGGCCTGGGAAGGAAGGGGGTGGGGTGTGGGGGTCCCGGGCTGTGGTCGGGGCAGGGGAGACCCCGGGTAGAGGATCAGGACAGACACAGTGGACGGTCAATGGAGTGGGCGCGGGGCGGGGCTCTCACCCCAAACCAGGAGGCCGAAGTGTCATCGAGGCGCGGGGCCGGGGGCGCAGCACGCCGTAGGCTCGGGATGGCCGGGGAGCTGTAGCCGAGCGCGAAACCGAAGCTGAGCGGGCCCAGGGCAGCCGCAAAGGCGGCGAGGAAGACCCGGCGGCCGCGGGGAGCGCTGCGGGGACAGGGCAGAGAGTGAGTGGCGCGGCTGGGAGGCCTCGGAGGGCGAGCCTGCGTCCCCCCGGCCGCCCCCCCACCCCATCCCGCTCACCTGTCTCCCGGCGGTCTCAGCAGCGGCTGGGTTTCCTCCGGGTCCTCGGGCGTCATATCAGAGTTCAACGCGAGCCCGGCCAGGTCTGATGTCCGAACCGCCGCCGCTGTGGCAAATGTTGCCTTGCTAGCGACTTCAGCAGCGCGGACCAATGGGCGACGGGGGGCGGTGCTAGGGTAGGATCGGCATCATGGAGGTTGCAAGAGTAGCCAATGAAAACGTAGGAGGGATAAGTTCTCCTCTAGGACACGCCCCTCAAATCAGAGCGGACCAATGGAAAAGCGTATCGGGTTGGCAGAGCGCACTAGATCCGCCCCTAGAGGTGGGGCGGAGCTTGTGTCAGGTCCGAGCACAACCGTCCAGTTGGAGTGTGGTGCGAGCGCAGAGGCGGGGCTAGAAAAACTGCCTCAGAAGTGAGCTGGCCAATGAGGGTGGAGGGCGGGGATTTTATTATTACTCTTTTTACCCTGGTACCATCTCCCAATCTAACTTCAACCAATGAGGGTATGAGCAGGACCCAGGCGGAGCACGTGGGCCCTGTCCTGACTCCCGCCCCCTACTCCCCACCGCTGCAGCTGTCCTCCGGGGTCAAGTCTGAAGTTCCTGCTCGGCTTTAACCGTTGTCTTGGGGCCCGGATTGGAGTCGCCTGACCACTATACCTCGCCCAGCTCTGCCCTCTGAAAGCCTCAGGACCGAAGGTCTACAGCCAGAATGTCCTAGGCCACCTTGTTCTCTCTTTCTGCTTGGGTTAGGGGCGGAGCCCTAGCCCTGAGCTCAGCCAACCGCCAGACCTGCATTTGAAGGCTGCAAAGCCAGGGGACCCAGAACCCATTAGGCGCGATGCCCCGTTCTGCTTGTGTGACTGAGCTAAATTTATTTGCGGTACTGGGGTTTGAACTCAGGGCCTTCACCTTGAGCCACTCCACCAGCTCTTTTTGTGATGGGTGCTTTTTTTTTCAGATCGGGTCTCGCTTTGCCCAGGGGCTTCGAACCGCAGTCCTCCTGATACCTGCCTCCTGAGTAGCTAGGATTATAGGTGTGAGCCATGGGCGCTCGGCTGAGCTAGGTTTAAATGGCGAGTTCCACCTTCCCTGGTTACTACGCAGGTAATCCTGACCCTTAAATTTTAATGGACTGCCTCCCAATTTTGAGTCCCCTGTGGATTCTAGTAGCCGACCTGTCCACGCGTGCATCCAGGCCTCTGCTGTTGGTGAGGATGACAGGGTTTGATAGGATCTTGCCATCTGTACTAAATTCATACCCAACACTCTGGACACAGGCAGTGCTGGTGTAATTCTGGGAAGAACTAGGGAGTAAGAGCCTTCTCATCCCTCCTTGGTGCTCCGTACCCTCCTCCGTAAGTGGGGATAACAATGATCTTCCAGGACACTTGTGAGCGGGTCTTGTATATTAGAGATCATACACCAAGTCCTCAATGGCTAGCTAGCATGCTTACCATAGTGGTTTGACCGATTGCAGTTGTCTGGTTGTACTAGCAAACTTTTTCAATTTTGACCACAAGACTATCTTTAAGCACTCTTGTGCTTGAGTTATAAATTCTTACCACTTCTTTCCAATCACCTGCTCTCTTCCTTCCCGGTGGACATGGCCTACTTTGGATTGTAGGCACTAGGTGTTTGCAGAGTGAGTAAAGGTCATGGATGAACTGTTGCCACTAGACCGTATACTCTGTAATTCAACCAGTGGGGTAGCAGAGAGGCTTATGCTCGGGTGAGCATAGCTAAAGTTTCTAAGCTGGGGACACCTGGCCCTCTGGCTAGTGGTCTCCTTCCCCGTAGTGTGCAGATATTGTTGCCAGAACAGCTTCCTACCCCCTTCTTATAAGCAAAGTGCCACCACCCTGAAGAGCAGGGTTTACCTCTTGCCCCTTCTGTACTCACTACTCAGATCTGGGCCTCTTGTTCAGCCACAGTTAGCTTTAATGCTGGGCATCTGGAAGAATGCTCTAAATAGTCTTTGGTTTTTCTGTTCCAGCAAGAAACTTTTAAAAAGTGACAGGAAAAACACAGATACAAGCTCATGATGCTTACTAATTAGCTTAACATGAAAAATACCAACCAGTTCCAACAGACACAGGTACTTAGCCTGGCTCTGAGAGGCACACAGTGGGGAGAGGGGAGGGGGTTCTTGGAACTTGAAAGTTCCAATCATTTCCTCTTTCTGTGCCTTAGTTTCTGTATTTGAAAAACAGGAATAGTAAACCTACTTTGCAAAATTGTTGGCAGGCTTGAGATACAGTGTGTGGTTGACTTTGGGGACCCTGCAGGTGAAAAGGGCCTAACAAAACACAAACATAGGAGTGCTAAATGCTACAAAGAATATGGTTATAAACAGCCCTGTCCAGGTACACCATAAAAGCACTATCCTTGCTACTCTGGCCTCTCAGTTAAAGAGGAACAGGGCACTTTCAGCCTGGATTCATTATGCTGAACTGTTTGTTTGTATAAAAGGTGGACAGAGGAGTCTGCCCCACAGTGTGCAAGGCCCCCAGGAAGGGAAGATATGAATGTAATAGGTCAAGGTCCTGTGAAACAGTCTTCTGCACTTACAAAGGCTTGCAGAAAAACTCTTCAGAGATGCTTTCACAGGGCAAATAACTGAATGTTTTCCATGGGTAATGCAGGCAAAAAGAGATGTAATGGAGTCATTTGCTGAGGTCAGAGGCAAATTACCTTCTTCAGATTAAAAATTTTACAGATAATGTCAATGATTTGAGATTTTCTGTTTTGATCTCTCCTGGCTAAGGTGACATTTCTCTATTACATTTGTACTTGGCCCACCCACATTTCTTCCTGTTCACTATGAGGAGGAAGATGGGAAGGCAGACACATGGAAAGAGTCAGGATAACCATTTGATTCATATGAAAGAAAGAGGCAGACCCACTCAAGGGGAGGGAATTTGAGAATTCTTTTGATCATAAGGGATGTCTATTCCCTGGCTATATGATCTCAGAGTAACATAAGCAAACAAAATAATCTTAAGACCAACAAGTTCCCTTGCCTTATTATTTTTCAAGAGACACACAGAGGAGGAAGGGGCACTTCTGAGATCTAACCATTCATATAGCTTTCTCAAGTCCACAGGCAGAAGCACAGCTGGTTCCAATCCCAGTGAACAGTGGCAGGGGTCAACAGTGCAGAAGGAAAACTTATTTATAGTATAATAAAGTTTAAAAGTAATGGCTTTTCTTTATAAAAGAAAGACATTGTGTGACACAATCAAAACTAATGAAAAAAATACTTTCCATCTAAGTATATAAAATATAAGAAGGTTGCAGTAAATAAGAATGAACATTTTTGATTTATTCAAAGTTTCAATCTAAAACTTCAATGAAATCTACCACCTTTATTACAAGGGGACTGATGGTTCCTGAACGGAAAGAAACAAAGGTCAAGAAAGATGGCACTGGACACTGGAGAGTGACCCAAACTGGCTGAGGGTGCAGAAGGTTTGGTCCAATAGATCGCTGCCAGGCTGAAAGCCACATTTTGTTGGGAAATGACATAATTGTTTAAGAGTATAAACCTCCCTAAGAAAACTACAGATGGCGAAGGAGACTCAGACTCTGTTTACTTCAAGTCAATAATGTCTTCATCTGAGGAAGCTGTGAGCTGGAAGGGGCTGCTGCTCCACACAGGGCTGCCCTCTCTCTCTGCCACGGGTTCCTGGTCTGAGCTTGTTGAGTGGATTGGCCCCTCAGGATTGGCTTCGCAAGTAGAAGGACTTTCCAAGGAGCCTGATGGAATCCTGGAAGAGAAAAGTCACTGTCAAGAGCATGAGAGAAACCCCATGGAACTGGGCCTCTCCTGTCTGCAGTTTCCTGCTCACCTGGGCTCATAATCATGTCAGGGAAGATGAAATGGCAGGACTCCCTAACACAGGCCCTGCAGTCAGAAAGCCTTAGCTTATGGGGTTGTGAGGATGAAAGGCCAAGGTGGGACACACAGAAGGTGCTCCTGAGGCATGATCTTCCTCAAGTATAATGAATCTGGATGTCATCACTTAATACTCTTCCATGGCCTAAGGATAAGGCTGAAATGCCTGCTATACCAAGGTTCAGGGCCTACCCTGCTGACTGCTCCGGCCTCTTGGGCCACCTGCTCCACCTGCTCCCTCTACTTTCTCCACTTCCTCAGGGCTCTGAAAGTTGCTTATTTGACCAAAATAGGTTTCACTCATCAGGGAATTCATGACTCAACAGATGCTAACAGGCCTGTGAAGCCTCCAACCCTGTTCTGCCTACCTGACCTCACACTATCCCAGCACCATTCCCTATGTGCAGCCTGTCCACCCTTCCTTCTGCCTCTGGCCATGCTGCCTGCTTCAGGGTCTCTCATCTGAGTCCCTGTTGTCATAGCTGTTCCACTAGATCCTTATCATTCACGCTAAGCCCAGCTCCATGCTACTTCCTCTTGACCCCTGTCAAAGTGGACATCTACCTCCCACCCTATCACTTTCCGTCTTTTAACTTTCTTAAGGCATTCGGTACTACTTGAAATGGTTCATGTCTTCTCTATGTAAAGTCACAGGGCAGAGGCCTTCTCTCCTAGGTTAGGTTGAAGGATGAGTGGGGGCTGTCCTCCAAGGTCAGGTTCATGCTTACTCAATGCAGTTGTGACTCAGCCTTTCCTGATGTTTCACACCCTCCCCTGTCAAGGCATGGGGTGGGTGGCATGCTTCACCACCAGCATCAACTGCCACCTTGTAATGCTAGGTGCCTGGGCTCTTCTTGGCCTTCCCCCTTGGCCCGTGAGCCCCCAAAGGCACAGATGGGGGCTTGGCCATTTCCATTTCTCAACACATAGTTCAGGGCTGCATTTTCCAAGTGTGTGTAGAGCGAATGATGAAGCTTGGGGCATTACCTTCCACATGCAGCATTGAGTGGTGTTGCTTGAAGGATAACAAAGATTTGAGGGGACAAATCAGTGTGAGTCAACCAATATCCACTCACATGCTGTGCTAAACTGCCTTTGAGAAGGGCAGGGTTGGAGAGTGTCTACTTCCCTGAGCCCTTACTAAGCGTTTTGCTTTTATAAATCACTATCCAAATGGCGAGTCCCCCAAAAGTCTCTTATT